TTTTTTTTTTTTTTTTTTTTTTTTTTTTTTTTTTTTTTTTTTTTTTTTTTTTTTTTTTTTTTTTTTTTTTTTTTTTTTTTTTTTTTTTTTTTTTTCGTTTTTTACATTTTGGTGTCTAGTTTTTGTCTTATCTTATATTTATATGCACACACACATAATACGATTTTTGGTGGTGGTGTTGCATGTTGTAGTAGGAGGGAGGTAAGGTAAGGTAAGGCAAGGTAGAGGCCGAAGAGTAAGCAAAAACAAACTCGCCGACTAAAATTGGCAGCAGATGGAGCAGAGGAAGCAGATTGATGATGAGATTATGAGCAAGATGCGAACATCCGTCTTCCGATCTCACTTGTGATCTCACATACATCCTACATTATACATAGCTAGGTCCTAAGAAGGTAGCTAAGCTACCGAACCAACCCAAGAATTGCCTATACGGGGAGCTTATAGGCCCGTCTGTCTGCATATACATACCCACCAACAGGAATAGGTTGGCCCCTCGTTAGGTAAGGAGGGCCAGCTGTCAAACCACGAGACCAGAGCAGCCCTCATAGGCTACCCACCCTCTTCTTGTTCGTCTGGACCGTAACTATGTAAGTCTGTCTCGCGTGAACAACCACCAACCCACCCCTATGACGAGTCCGAGCTCCCACGCTACAACCTTCACCTCGCTCTAACCTGCAGGCTCCTCCGGGTCCCGTGTTTGAGACAGCATGTGGGCGTGTATGGGCGCGCGTACGGTACCTATATATATTTACGTATACCTACCTAGGTATCTATATTTATGTGAGGGTGGCCCGTGTGTAGGTATGAACGAGGGGAAGAAATACCTATAGCAACAACACCATCAAATCTATATCGTGTATATAAGTTGTATGTAAGTATCTAATGTAAGTAGGGAGTGAGACATACATACATCTATGACATTATGACATTTATGACATACAAGACTTACACCACATCTATATAATTGCACATCACACTGCTAACAAAACGGGCCGCCTACACGGCCGCTTCGTAATATCTTATATGTTAGCGCTCCGCAACTACTACACACCCGCCCGTCCACCGTTACCTATTGTACCGCTGCGCGTTCCTGTCTTGGAAATGCTCATATATATGCGCTGTGACGGCCGCTCCCACTGGCCTCTCGACCCAACCTTTTACCTACCTACCTACCTACCCAATGTATGTATTGGCAATGCTCGAGGAAAAGAGAGAGAGAGAAATAGAGCAAGACGCAAGACAGACAGAAAACGGACAGGAATCCCAAAAGTAGCAGCGCATGTGAGCTTCTGCAGCAGACTTGGCATAAAAAGGGAAAAGCTATGCTGAGCTGGACGAGACTAGTAATGGGGGCTCGTCCCTCGTTCCCAATTAGCTCTACGCCCAACGCGGGGGGGTTATCTAAGACTATATTTGCATCTATTCCTAGTGTAGTTACCTGATGCATGTAGTAAATCCACTTACACATCTATCATCATTGTTATTGTTATTATCAAAGTAAGAATATAATATTTAAAAAAAAATTTATTATTATTAACTATTTTTTTTATTTTTAAAAAAAAAAATAATAAAAAAAAAAAAAAAAAAAAAAAAAAAAAAAGGTCACTCGCTACCGCTGCGCCCCGACCCGGCCGCATACGTGGGGAAAAAAAAAAAGCGCAAAAGCCAAAAGCGAAACGCTGCGCTTCCCAATCCCCAAATCCCCAAAAGCCCAAAGCAAATAAACATTAGCCTACCATACACGACCAACCCAAGGACGAACCGAACCGAACCGTCATCGCAAAAACTTGGCTAACACCCGCTTTAGGCAAGTAGAAGCACACACCCCCCTCCCCCTTCCCCTCCTCCTCCTTACTCCCTTTCCACATACCCTCCCCTCCCCCCATCTGATCTGACATTTTCTGACCTAATGTACCCGTATCGTGCATATGCTCGGCATGTGTAGGGAATAAGGTGCTTTGGTTAGCTCGTTTTTACATTACATACTCTGGTAGCTAGTGGGTTCGTCTTCAGTTGGTTCAGTAGATACCTAAACATTTATTCTATTTTCTTGGTTACCTCCGTTTATTCGTTACCAGACTACGACTCCTACGAATCCGGGGCTGGACATAAGGGGGAAAATGGCATCATTAGGTACATTTGCAGTCACATTATTTGCAAAGTTTTTTTATTTTTTTATTTATCATTTTTTTGACCTGGTGGCACTGGAACTGGAACTGGAACTGATGTTTTGCTTGGTTGCTTGGGGTATTCATATTCATCTCGACGTTTCGCTAATAAAACTGACTGATGAGTTACAAGACGAACAGCCGCAAGTGAGCTCCACCATGGATCGCTCTGCTATGCTATGCTATGCTGTCCCCTTCCATCCCCCCCAAAAAAGAACATGTCCCTTTCTCAGCTACTGGTAAGCTGCCTGTTCTTCATGCTGCCCCGATGTGCTGTTTGTCCGTGACATATCTTCGTCATTCTCGTATGATGAGTCTCACACATCCAATAAACCGCCCCTTGGCTTGAGTTGCCGCCCTTTCCATGGGAAAAAAAAAAAATAATACTAGGAAAAATATGTAGGAAAGAAAGGGAAAAAACAAAAAACAAAGCTAGACGTCTCCGTTTCATTGCTCTCGTCAGCTCACTCCCAGTACCGCCCCGCCCCTTTGAGTGACCCAACTAAGACCAACCCCCCATTATGTCGCGTCGTGAGACTGAGACCCAACCATATTTCCCCTCCTAAAAAAAAAATAAAAATAAAAAAAAAGTCCCGAAAAAGAAAATACCCCGCTTTGGGCGCGGACCTATTCAGCAAGGTCCCCGTCTCGTCTATGAGACTACGCCCACTCGCCAGAGGGTAGCACGAAGAGAAGGTGTAAGGAAAAGCCAGCGACCCGAATGTGAAGAAAGAACCTCGCCGTTTCGGGTTTCTCTGACCCTACCCCCAATTCCCAAAATGATCCCTTAGAACGTTGTACAAGAAAATACGTAGCCTCGACAGCCGGGCTTACATGCCAAGGTAATCCCGCTCCCCAATGACCGACCCATTTTCGCCATGCAGCACGTTTGTCTTGGTTTTTTTTACCGATGATGATGTATCGGGAAAAAAAGAGAGAAAGACATAGAGAGAAGATTTGGCGTGCAAAAAATATGAATAAACAATAACCAAGTTATTTCAATAATGGGACAATCGAAGATTAAATTAAATCAGAATGCTGGCTCGCTTGCTAAGTTTCGACACAAAATAAACAATAAGATTGACTTTGATGATGATAAGTTTCGATTCGAGATAGACAAAATAGATGATGATGCTGGTGATGATGTAGATAATGTAGATGATAATGATAAGTCGTCGTAGGTCGTTTCGGTGTGCGTGAGCACCGTCGAATCTGGATTTTGATGCGCGGGAGCGCCGTGTAAAAGCTGTATGAACAATGGCAATTGGAAAAAATAATCGATATTTAAGTTACCAACAAGCGAAAATATCCAAATTGTAAAAAGAAAATAGAAAAAATAAAATTGGCTGTTGACTCGAAGCCGTATAGTAGTAGTAGTGGTAGTAGTAGTCGTCGTCGTAATAAATTCGTTCTTTTCGTTAATATGTCGTTATGTCGTGAAATCGTCTCATGAGTTTGCGTCGTTGCCGTTCTGACCACCGTTCGCGTTGTTGCACTCGGCCACCATCTTGGCAAAGTTCCTGACTACGTCGCCCGGGATCTGGTCCCACAGCAGTGATCGCGTGTATACCTCAGCCGCCGAGTGCTTCTCGGCGTGGCGCATGTTGCTTAGCGCGTCGGCGAGGTTCCGGCGGTTCTGACCCGTCGATCGCGTCGGTGCCGTTCGAAGGAAATCTTGCGATGTCACACTGTTATATTGTGCCGGTGTGAGTGAGAAGATTTGCTCATTCGTCTGCTCCTGCGTCGGTTGGGTGAGGGAATCCGCCAGGTCACCAAGCATAGACGGTGCTACACCCTCCATAGCGCCGCTGGCCATCGGCACCGAAGCGCTTGAGGTCCAGTCCGCACCGGACGGCTGGGGAGCCGAGGGTACGATGGCGTTCTCGGCGTTGGCGACGCCTGCGTCCTTGAAGATGTTGTTGAGAAGCGTTGTCGAAGCTTCGCGAACATCTTCCGAGACGCGGGGGATCGTCGGGGCCGACCTGTTGGAGATGACAAAGGCACCAACGAGGAAGAGCATGAACAAGAGACCTCCTTGCGTGGTGGACTTCTCGCCATCGGATGAGAGCTGGACTTCGGCCTTCTTCTGGGGAACGATCTGGAGCTCTTGCTTCACTTCGGGTTCCATCTGGAACTCGTTCATGAAGCCCATGTTGTCCCAAGACGTATCCATAGTAAGGCTGTCCATATCGGTATATCCGTTGGAGTAGCCCGTATTGCTGGGGATAGCGGCGTGCTCGAGCCTTTGGACGTGGTCGGTCAGGACGCTAATCTTCTTGCGCAAGTCGCCGGTCTCGATGGTGTGGTTTCGAATCAACTCTTCCTTTTCCAAGGTCAAGTTCTCGACGTGCGCCACCAAGTACTCTCTCTCTCGCCTCTCCTGGTCTAGCTTTATGTGAAGCTCGCTCATCTCCTCTTCCATCGAGCTGATGAGACTGGTGAAGTGCTTCTTTTCATCCTCTAACCTCTCCGTGTGCATCTTTTTCCTTTGCCTAGAGTCCAATGCAGCTTGCCGGTTGCGAAGTAGTCGCTTTTGCTGCTTCAGCTCCTTGATTTCCTGCTCGTCAGTAGTCGATGCGATAAGCTGGTCGATGTTGCCGAGATTGCGCTCCGCGGGAATGTCAAACCTGGCATTCTTCTTGCGGATGCCATCACCGCGACGTAGCTCGTTGTGCGATCGGATGGTGGGAGTTTCCGGTCGCATGCGCTTGACTAACGAGGGGTTCTTCAAGTCCTGGCCCATCCAATCCTTCTGCGGCGAGTTCGGCATGGGAGGATTGTTAGGACCAACTGTAGCGAAAAGCGGCACTTGGTGGGCAGGATTGCTGAAGGGCGTTTGCATCTGAAGAGGTCGTTGTTGGAAGATGGATTGGTTGTTGTCGAATGCGTTCTCAAGGCTGTCATACTGTAAGGGTGTGCATGTACCGGAACCTTGACCCATTTGCCATTGCTGATTTTGCGAGCCGTATACGGCTTGCGGGTCAGCCCTCGTAAACGGGTTGTTGTTGTTCTGGGGCTCTAGGAAGGGGTTATTTGACGGGACCGACTGCATGTCGACGGATTGCCAATCTTCCGTCTTCGGTGAGAAGATCGAGCCGGGTACAGTGAACGAATCCCTCCTGCTGCCAGCCATGGGCGGCGACATATCCAGACCCGAGTCCATTGCGTTGCTGTCTAGGATGTTCTCGTCGAGGATGTTGCTGTCCTCTTCATCAAAGTACTTTTGCGCATGGCTGGTATCGACGGATAAGTGATTCGACCGGTAGAAGGCCGGCATCTGAAATGTTGAGACCATTGCTGGTCTGTGTGTGTATGTGTGAAGGTGGTGTGTGTCTTGGAAGAGAAGCGAGAGTTAGGAACTCTGCAGGTTGTTGTATAGAATAGTCGAAGAGGTTGGATCTGCTCTGCAGGGATGTGTGGTTAGTGTGCGTCGAGCGGTGAATGATTAAAACTAGTAGCGGTGGGTCGTTGATGGACTATTCTCTGTCTCCTCTTTCTTTAAAATCGAGTCTCAAGTTGGAACAACAAGATGCTTCGAGACGATGATTAAGAGTATATGTGTGTGTAGGTGTCCGTGTATGTGTGCATGTATGCGGGAGTATGTGCGAGAGAGACAATGGAGAGGGGGAGGGGGATGTTGCAATGATTAATGGGAGCGATAAGAGGTTGGTCGGCTTTGGAGGTGTAAGTGGTAGTAAGATGGTGGTAGTATTTGGTTGCAATGGTGGCGGCGGGGGAGAGACTTGCAGGGTAGGAGGAGCAGAGATGTCCGGCAACTTTAAAAAAGAATAAAAAAAAATAAAAATTTGAAAAATAGAAGGGAAAATTAAGGGAGTGGGAGTGTGTGTTACTACACAACTTACAACTTCTTCGGCTTGGGAGATATTCTTATGAATATTCGTGTGTCGTACAGGTATTGTCGGCCTGAATCCGTCTTACAAAATCTATGTAAAACAGAACGAATGTAAAAATGAGGGGGATAAAGTGGTTGTAATAGATGCTGTTAGGAATCGCGTGATTCACAATCTCAGCAACAATCAAGATGTTTTCTTATAAGTTATTTCCTTATGATCGGGGGGGCGATATTGATGGGGGGTGAAGGAAGGGCCTGGGTACTTAAACAAGAAATGGTCAGGTCCTTCTTTGACTGTCAGGATTTGCTTGTGCTAAGAGGACGGGGGTCAGTCACTTAAGCATTGTAGTGGGGAAGATGGAAGCCCATGAGACTTACCAACTGACGAACGGCATCTCTTCTGCTTGGGTTCGCGGTGCAGTGAGGTGAGGGTGTGTGGGAGGACGTGGGTATGGTCCCTTGTAGGTAACGGTACGGGGGTGTGGTAGCGAGATGGATGCTGTTCCGGGCCACTGGTTGATCCTCAGCCAAGGAAAACATCTCTCCACCGTCTTTTACCTCACTGGAGAGAGAGAGACGGCCGTTTTTGACTCCAAAAGTCTGTGAAACAGCAGATTTGCATCTTGGAGCAGCCCAGCTATACGGTTGGGTGGATTTGTACTAGGACGGGAAGCTATACATTCTTGTTAGTCAGGGATCTTGTACTATGCCTCTGGCCACTGGGAATAGGTGCCAGTGGTCTTGCAGCTAGGGACTTTTTAGTTACGGTAGGGCAACGGATAACTGTAGAACCCGTACATCTGCCCGTACATGATGATAGATGAGTAGGTATACGCCGGTGGAGATTTAATAGTCATCTTCTGACTGGCTACGTTGTAGATCGGACAAATAGAATCGAGATGGATTGCTATGCTTACGGCTCCGGAGTAGATCGAAAACCAATCGTCTCCAGAAGCGGAAACGCTAGATGCTTGAGCTTGAACCGGTAACCCATTACGAGTGAGCTAAGGATATCATAGGCTAGAAGTCGTTAGCCCTGCTGGGTTGGGCATCGATGACCTTAGGTGCAATTGCTACCTAAGACCATGCACTCAGCACCCACGAGCACGCTTCTTGCGCCCACTAACAGGACGCTGAGTTCGTTTTGGGCATCCCATTGCTCAGTAGCTCTTGGTGGGGTGACAAGAGATCTTTTTTTTGCTAGGCATTCTTACACTTACGAGTCCACCGGATCTGTCGATACAATAGACTAGTATCCTGCTTCCTGCTTTCGAACGGCCAAGCAGACTTTCCCGAGCCGTACATTAGTTAAAAGCAGTTTTTTGGAGTAGCTATGGGTCGTGCCCAAGATACAAAGATACGGTTCAACGCGATGAGCGCTGTGAGATGACGAATGTCCAGATACAATCCAGACGCTGAGACGAGGCTGCGCCATACAAAAGCGCGACGTGCTTCCCCGGGCTCCTACTGGAGACCTGAGAGCTCGGATACTAATTCTTCAACTGCTCAGTGCGACTGGTGTCACATGATTATGACTGATTTCTCTCTGGTGTTGTTTGTGCTGAAGCCGTGAGACGCCTGGAAGCCGGTACATAAACATAAAGATTGCAGCCCGACGCTTTGTGCATCCGAGGCTCCTACAGCTTACAGTCATGTTATGACTGCCAGCTGCGTCTCGATGTCAAGCAAACACTAATCGCGTTGTACCTAGGACCGCTAGGAAGCTATGCGTCGCCGGTTATCATACCTAGTTTGTCAGTAGATCACGAGATAATTACGACTACATACAGTACAGCCATTGATCGTTGCATTGAAGGGCCCCTCTATGACACTTTCTACACCTTCCTCTACGGTACCATGCTCAGATCTCGGAACGGGACGGCGGCAGTATCAAGTGTCAGATTGGAGCGAGACCGGGAGCCTGGGGCCGATCTTGCCTCACCCATGCTCGGAGGCAACTCTGCTACGACCGCACGGCGCTACTGCAATTACTTGGAAGAACATTGACGTTCTCCGTTCGGCGACGGCTAGATGAGTTCCTCTCGCCCGTCCGCTATTCTTGCCGATTATGAGCCAGTCCGCAAAGGTGTATCTAGTTTTCTTGGTTGGTAGGTTCACACGCGGGATTCTTGCGGTGAGGGCGATATTAGTCAAATAACGTTAAAAATAGCCAAGAATAAGAACGATTAAGCCGTGGAATCTTTGAGCACAGACAATGGGTCCATCTTCTAAAATCTTCGAGTCCTCCTAACGGATTTGACACGATGGGGCATGCTCCCCCTGTTGGCCGGCGGGTCTTCCGGAGCCAGGGTCCAGATGCGCGCTATCGAGCGTTGGAGAGATGCTAGGAAGAGAAAAAAAAAATTGCATTTTGGAAGAATTCTCTGGAAACTCAAGCTCTTCGGAGTTAGTACTAATTCGAATGCTAGCCTGAATTGCTGTCGCGAGAGACGCGAATACCTATACCAGCAACGACAATGATCGATCAAAACACGCTCCGCCACCACCGCGTATACGGCAGAAGGAATTCATAGAGCAGCCAACAGGAAATTGTCCGGTTTGAGATGACGTACAGGTGTAGATCCCCGACCAGCTTAGTTAATGGGAGCCTTGTGGAGGCTCCGTTTTGAGATTTACATTGTCCTAATATCTCCTAGTATCATGGGGACGGTTAATCGGATGGATCCCAAGATTCTGTTATAGGCAAAGATTGGAACGAGTCAATTTGATAAGAGTATGTATAGGCATGGCCGACGTTTTGGCTACAGCCTTCTAACATCAAGAACCGGTACAAGTAGGTATTTTCTGCGAGCCACCGTAACCGGGTTTGGTGGTAATGGGCTCAGGGTGTTTGCAGCCGAGACAGCCAACCGGAGAAATGATGAATAAGTCGTTGGCGACAACAATGTAATGCAATTGACGCCTGAATGATACGAGTAAAAAAAAAATCATGATCAATCAGCTCTAGTCGATTCAACCCGAGGAAAAGAAGCGCGAGGGAGAGTTTCAACGCACTTCAACGCACGTGTATTCTGCTGCAACTTCATGCTGAAGCGTTCGCCTCGTCTGAGTGATTGGCTGTGAATGAAGCAAGCTCTTGCGGGTCGGCTGAGAGCCAGGCCAAGCTTGGCGCATCGCGTTTCTGCTCTACCCGCGATACGCAAAACTGAGTACAAACCGGTTGAATATGAACCGGACGATTCTAGATCAAAACAAGGAGCGCCGGTAGCTTTTAGGCCTTATCTGCTTCAATGACGCACCGAAGACCTCGCCACTACTCGCGGGCGCGTCGCGGTGTGGACGAAATAGGCCGTCTTGGTTGGACCGGCGCTCAATGTATCGTACTATCTACACCGACTGTGGTTCTTATTCCGGACTACCGACGAGACCTCAAGGCTTGAGCACTTGCTCAGATTGGAATAGCTCTTTGGTTAGGCACGAACTTCTTACATCTTCATACATGCAGCTACTGTGACACCTAGCGGGCCGGCTTTTATGCGGCCAGAGGCACATAAGATGGATCACATCCCCTTCTGGTACGATCTGAAGGTGATGAGAGGACGAATTTGGGGTTGATGGAGAACACTAAGTTTAACTGCTCTCGTCCGTGCAAGACATGTGCGCCAGTCGGGGATTCCCAATGCCCAAAGGGGGATAGTTCGTAAGCAGCGGTGAGTGGCATTTTCGACCAACCAGCTTCCGGAATCATCGATCTTAGTATGGAACACTATGGCAGATAGTCAAATACGAAACCACCATTTCTGCCCAAAGGGATGAAAAATCAGGGCGTCATGGAGCCATCGACATTTGAATATGTCGATTTTCGAGATGATCCTAAGTCTGCTCGGGCGAGCCTGTCCAAAGAGTTCAGCTGCTCAATGCGATTGTTTATGCTGCTGATGTGGACGTGTTCGGAGGATGATAGCGACCATTGGGTCTATTTAGCGGCCTACATACTTCGTAGCCGTTTCTCAGATCTAACTTTTCATCGGAGACCTGCAGCTTCATCGCGACTCGTCAGTAAGGTACCGTCCGGCTCCACTAGCCACATGCGGCATTACGTTCAACCACCAGGACCCCGATAATCGCTTGCAGTATGCTTAAAAGGGGGAGAATAATGAGTCACATCCATGTAAAAATCTTGTCACACTAGGGAAGAGCGACGTTGATGTTCTCGTTCTGTCTTCGTGCAATTGCTATTTCATTCTGCCAAGTTGAACTGAAGTTCGTGTTTGCTCTAAAGGAATATCATGTTAGGACTCAGCCAACATGGCGGTGTAGTCCCGATAGTTCGGGAAGGCCTATGCAGACTTGGAGTTCAGACTAGGAAGTTTCTTTGAGAGTAATGTATAGTTGAATCCTTCCTGCGCAATTCAACCACTTATCTCCTTCGAACTTGAGCATTCTGAAACGAATTTCTCGCCCGACTCGAACACCTGAAATAGCGTTTTTCTCCACTTCGCGTTACGTAGTGCAGAGTGGAGTTCTGAGGCTGCGCGTCGAAGCAAATTCCAAGATCGAACGGTACGTAGCAGGCTGTCATCCTGTGCCTTGCACTGGAGGTACTTGAGTGATACGACCGTAGTAGTACAGAGTCGCAAGAAGCCGCGAAGTATTATGGCAAATTCATAACAATATCTCGCGATCCCGAGCGGAGAATATGGACCGCGACGGTGGCGACATATATTTAGTTGGTTGAGGCGGTGAGTGGCTTTGTAGCCAGATCGAATCCGTCTCCTCGGCATCGACCCGCGGTGGGCTCTCCATCGGATCGATGGCGTGAGTATCCCTGGATCGATAGCCGTAATAATCTCGAACCTAGTAATAACAGAAGGGTAGCTGCCGAGAATTCCAGGTTTAGGTAACGCACGCTCCGAGACTATCCTAGACCCTAGACGTCAAAGCGGCGATCATTGGAAGTCCCAGAGTTTCGCCAGAAGATTGTCCTCTACCCCCGAGTCTAGATCCTGAGGAAGGAACACTTTTTTGGGTATCATAAACTCCACAACAGGAGCCTTTTTGACTTGCTTGGACAGCTCCGCATCGAGTAGCTAGAAATACGTAAGCAAAACAAAACTAGTATGTGGGACGGTGGCACATGGGACTTACGCTGCTATACGAATGGTCCAAGAAATCCTCGAGGTTGTAGGACTGCTTAGTGAATTGCTCCGATACTATTTTCGCGATAGTCGCAACGTTCGGGTGGTAGTGTGACTGCAGCTGAACGACCTCCCATAAGCAGCTATCGATGGCGCAAGTCTCCATTGGATCTTCTTCGTCAGCAATGAACGGGTCAGCCATCCCTTCATTTTCCAGCGCCTCCTTCTCTTCCGGCGACCTAGGCACGCGATGCATCATGAACGTGCAGAGCGGGTGCTTTTTGAATAGATTATAAATCCAGGGTATGACTACAACGATAGCGGCAGGGGGAGCGCTAAGGCACAGCCTCGTAATTCGCTTGATGAAACTTGCGACAAGGACGGCGGGAAGATGCGTAGAAGAGAGGAACGTGTCCAACAGCCGAAAGAACCTGGATCGATGTTTTGAATGTAGGATATTTGCATCTAATAACGAGTACAACTTCCGATAGAACGACGGATAGTCCAAGTTCCGCTCTTGTATGAGATAAAAGACTCCCGATAGAGCTAGTAGAGAAATCGCGCCTCCGGCGTTATACGAATCCGTCAGAAAGTCCATCAGAAGCTCTGGTTTGGTAAACCACGGAGCAATAGACTTGGTCATGATTTGGAGCACCTTTTTCCTTTGCTCCCGGTTGAGGCCTAGGTCAAGCAGTGCTATCCAGGCTTCTTGAGCTTGTTTCTTCTGTTGGTTCAAGGATGCGACGGGATGCGACTTCTTTTTCGGCGCATCAATATAGAACTCGCCCATTTCTTCAGCAGAAGCCGGAACATCCTCAAAGAAGGATAGCAAGTCGAACACGTTATCAAATAGTGTTTCGTTAGAGGATATTAAATGTTCCTCAGAAAGAATATCTCTGTATATAGGTTAGTACCACACACATGTCAAACAGGAGTCAACCACGTACTTCAAGGTTTTGAACGTGTAAAATCGTATATCCGCATACTCGCCCAGAAACTTCTCACAGAATTCTTCTCTAATGTCTTCGGACTCGCTTAGGATAAGCGCTTCCACCACTTCTCTGAGGAAACCCTTCGGAAAGCTGTATTCATCCTTGTCGTTGGTGTGTTTGCCTTCAGCTTGCAAGATGCGCATAGCTAACGTCAACGCAGTAGACGCGGTATCCTCCCGACCCAATTCTGAAAGGATGATCTTCTTGAAGTCTGCAAGTCTTTTTTTCAGCCATTGAACGACTACGATATCTTTTTCCGACTGCCCGTTCCGTCGCGCTAGGTTGCCTGATGCAAACAGACGCAGAAATACTCTGCATAGCGATACTACTGCAAGCTGGGTAGAATCGTCGTCGCCGTCATCTTTTTGCGCGAGGTCAAGAAGAATTGTTATGTTATTGTAATTCTTCTTGGATTCTAGAATCTCGTTTTCGAGCTTCAAGATCTCAGCTTGGGGATCATGTTCGTCGCTGTCCTTTGGTTTAGCTCGTTTATTTGCCTTTTCAGGGACTTTCGATCGCTTCCTCTTCAGGGACTCCTCAGTAACGGACCCCGACATTTTCGCGTAGTTACGTAGTTGAAATATATAACTGGGCGTTGCAGGCGTTTGAATAGTGTAATGAGGAAATGATTAAAAAAGTTTAATTGCTACCAGCCTTGAGAAAGAATAATGCAAGGCTGACCCAAAAGTGCCAACAGCGCCAAAATCGAGTTTGAAGTGGGGAGGAATGGATAAATCACGTGTCTGATTGACCAATCACGGAAGTCGGTTGAACTGGATTGAGGGTTCAACTGGGTTAAGTGCAAGTTCGTTAAAACCTCATCGACTTCAATTCCGAAGCTCCTCTAGACAAGTAATAATTAAATAATTACTCCCATCTCCCCTCACCCGAATCCCGGTTTCTCTTGTCATTCAATTTCGCAATGGCCTCCCGCTTGGCTACCCGTGCCTTCGGTAAGTTCTTGCATTGCTATTAGCATGCCAATTAGGCCATGTAAAACTTATCGCGAATTGTAGGAGCCGCCCGTCTACGGCCGTCGGTCCCTTCGCGAACTCTTCCCGCAGTTACCACCGCATTCACTGCTACCCGACCGGCATCCAACGTTCCTGATCCTAAGGTCAAGGCACAGTCTATCATTGATTCTCTACCTGGAAACTCTATCGTTTCCAAGACTGCCATCCTATCCTCCGCCGCTGGTCTGTCTATCTACGCCATTAGCAATGAGTACTACGTCGTGAACGAGGAAACCGTCGTCGCCTTCTGCTTGCTCAGCGTCTGGGCTGCTTTGATCAAGTATGGTGGTCCCATGTACAAGCAATGGGCCGAGGCTCAGAACGAGAGGATCAAGAATATCCTGAACGCCGCGCGTGCCGACCACACCCAGGCCGTCAAGAACCGCATCGAGAACGTTCAGCAGATGCAAGGTGTTGTCGACATCACCAAGGCTCTCTTCGAGGTCTCCAAGGAGACTGCTAAGCTCGAGGCCAAGGCATATGAGCTCGAGCAGACTACTGCTCTGGCGGCCGAGGCCAAGTCGGTTTTGGATTCGTGGGTGCGATACGAAAGCCAGGTTAAGCAGCGCCAGCAGAGGGAACTGGCCGAGACGGTTATCGCCAAGGTGAAGAAGGAGCTCGAGAATCCCAAGGCTCTTCAACAAATCCTGCAACAAAGCGTTGCCGACGTAGAGAGTAAGTGTTGTTACTATCGGTTTTATAGTACAAGCTAACAAGTTTCCAGGAATTGTGTCCTCTAAGACTCAATAGACAAAGTCAGTTTAGACAGATACTCCATGGCGCGGGCGAAGTTCTCTTTTGTCCCTCCCTGTGTTTATAAACACCTTGTGCATTAGTCAAAAAGAAACTATCCTTCCAATACTAACTCTGCAACGTTTTGTGACACCTAATATGGCAGTCCTACATACCTGTATAGTATGGGAGCTTATAAAATATTTGAACATAGACTACGATAATGGAAGAATGATCTGCTCTTTTGTGATGAATATTAGTGAACATGGCTAATTAATCTTTAAGCTGCTGTTAACTACCTAACTTAAGAATCGGCCCTATGTTCTGAACCCATTTCGTTCGAGTTGCTTGGGTTCTTAAGCTTGTCTCATATGAAATAAGCGTGAATGAATCTCGGTACACATATGAGCCATCACCAAGTAGACTCATTAGATTACTTTCTGTAGTTTGTTGGGATCGTAGCTGTAGGACTTGGATTATGGCGAATATCTTGTATGAGGATACATGTCCAGACGGTAGCTTACACAGCTCAGCCACCACCTAGGTAGTATTCACCCGTCTTTCCCTTCCCACTTCTCTAGAAGACTGACTTTCCATTCCTTGAATTGACGATCACTCTGGGGTAATAGAAGGTTGTTACTGTTCAGGATATCCTTTACCTTTTCGATTGCCTCAGCCGGTAGCGTAATGTCTTGTACATCTGACGTCATAGAGTCAAGTAATTTGTCTGCTTCACCTTGGTTAACCATGCGATAAAACACCTTTATAGCCTTGATGGGCGACCTTCCTTCCCCCGTGGAAGAGAAGGAGATGTTGTTGAATACCCAGATGTTTAATAGAGACTGGGAGACGCTCTCTGCCGGCTGGTCTTTCAGTTTCATTGGCAGCAAGATGGATTTTGAACAACCGGAGCGGGCTATCGTCGAAAGGAGAATAGAGCCGACCCAGTGAACCAGATTGGGCGAGTTACTAGGGCCTCGTGGGATTTGCTCATCCACGTAGACCTGCCACTTGAATAGAGTAACGGCGGCTCCTAGTTCGTTCAGTATTCCTAATTGATTCTTACAGGATACACAGGAAATGGATATGCTTTCTGGCTGTGAGTTGTGCGGTTCTCCATTTTCAGTTACCTCATCATGGTGTTCTGATTCATTGCGTGACTCTAATAGGGATGGAACTTTTGTTATCTGAAGAAGCTTGCATTAGCAAACCTTCTGAGACAAGACACTCGATAAAAATGGTTAATATATTAGGTAGCTAAAAAGCGTGAGATGTACCTCTGGTTAATCCCGGAATTTCCACGTCCAAGGAAATTCTCAGTGAAAAACAGAGGGGTCTCCTAATACATCAATGCCAAATCCCTAGGGCGAGACCTCGGATTCGGCACTTACATACCAGGATAGGAAATTATGTTATTCTAGGGTAAGAGTATCGGTAACCATGCCACTGAGGAGCAAAAATGCCTGCTTGGCCACCTTCTATATACCCATTTCAAGCAGTTAATGAAAGGAAATACTTACAGCAGACGCAGAGATATCTGTCTCCGATAGTAGAAAGGAAGAGAGATCCACAAACCCGACACCTGGTTGGGCGGATATCCTAGAATTTGCACCATACGCTTTAGAAGCAAGACCATCATCATGATCGTGTCCGTGATCATGAGGTTTATGGCAATGCCAGAATTCCATCATTTCAGCCCAGTTCTCGCTAGGCAAATCTTTCCATACTTTGATTACACCGGGTTCAACAATGGTAGCGTGGCATCTTCGACACGTAATACGTGATTCTGGCTGAAGATCAGTTGCGGACCACGGAACTATTTGTTCCCCCAGCGTAGAAAAAGCGTGGTGCTCTAAACTTGAGGCAAGAGGTAATCGACAGGAGAGGCGCTTCTTGCCGATACTCTGTATTGGTAGTTGTTGAACTGAGACAACCTGTCCAGGGAGACGTATGGAGGTCTCTACGCCATCGTGGTGAATTGTGAAGAACCAGCCATCAGATGAGACGGCGGCTCTGGTATCGGGTGAGCTTGGTGTATACAGCTCGCATGCGACAGATACCCCTTGTATACGCGACAAAAGTTCGGCATATATAAGAACCTGACGTGATTCATTCATGTTGCACATAGGGAAATGGTTAAAACCCGAAAAGATGGTTTGACGCGATACATTTTGTAGTATTTCGGTGATGCACAGACCAACATTAAAGATGACTGCAAATGACGACAATGGTTTATACTTTTTCCTTAGCGCATTATTTAGCTAAAGCATTTTAGCCTCATTTAATACACCTCTTAATTGTATAATACTTCCTATCAATGCGATATCTGGATTTGCAACTTTTCATTTAAATGCATACCTATCTACATACAATAACGTCTTTGGATCACGCGGGTGGCACTTTCGATTTTTACGTCACTTCAACTTCAACCACTTTAGCCTTCTAACAGTTAATTTTCGTGATGCTCTAATTCTAATTTAAGACCAAAGATGGCTTCCGTACTTTCTTACGTTCCTATCGTGAACCGACTCGTCTCTAATACAGGTCGCACTCGGACCATTGACATCCCACCTGTTGAGGTTCACAATGTGGAGACGGCAGCTGAGAAACGACCAAGGACCCTTAAGCACCTATTGAGGGCAAACCACGTTAATCATTCCATTCTCTACCACAATTTGGAGTTTCACAACCATCTGCCCCATATCCTCGGGTCTGCTTATATCCTTGGAGCAGATGTTCAGCAATTGCATAAGATCTACGATGTAGAAGCACAGGATCTGGAGTCATGGAAAGAATCGCCGGCTGAAATAGCCCAGGAGGACTGGAGAGACTTTCTCGGAGAACCAGAGTACCAGCGTGCCTATGTTGATTTCTTCGAAGATTCTCTAGCATTGAGGCACAATTACCAGTGGAGAGGTGTAGTGGAAGAGTACATATATGGGGGCAAGGAGCCCTTAGTAAACTGCCTCATCGGAGGCCGTACGTTCAACCCCTAAAACTTCGTATATGCATAAACTGACCTGTATTAGTTGGGCATCCTCTCATTCACCTGGGCTATGCTTATGAGGTAGACAGTCGCGAAGTTGCCATGGAGGCACTTGGCATGGCGGCTACGCAATACAACTTCCTTCATAAGTATATTGACGATGCTTCGTATTCGAAGCCGTCTTCGATCAAGCCGTCTTCGCCCTTGGAGCTGCTCTTAAAACTGAGGAGTGATAATCGTCTGGATGGAGTCTTCAAGGAACCAGGACCTGACAACATTGAGCCGCTATTCAAGAAGCACGAGGATATTGTTCTAGAGTACTGGAACGCATGGACACTCGACGATCCGGTAAAGGACTTCGAACAATCCCAGGAAGCTGCGGTTGCTATCCTAATTGCCACAGTTCCGCCCGGAACTCATTCATATAACTTCTTTCTTTGCCACGTGCTGACGACGAGTCATGCCGTCAGGATACTGCTTCCATTCATCCCATCGGAATTTCGCATCAACTTAGTTAGGCAATGGTGGCTATTCGCAATTGCCGTTTATATCGCTGAACTCCGCCCGAAAATTGACCCTGATTACATCAAGCGCGAAGATGTTGCTGGGAAGCAATGGAATTATGTGGAGGACAAGGCATTAAATGGACCTTATGCCACTGACGCTCATTTTGTTAAGGGTAAGACTCCTAAACGAACCAAATATAGGTTACCAAGGTACTAATTTACTGTATAGTTGTGCGTGCTATTAAAGAAGCGGCTCGGACTTGGGGCGACGTACATGAACGTTATTTGGCTGCGGCCGTCCGGTTTGCCGATGACTTCCAGGGATGGACCTTTTCATAGTATTAGGTCTCTTGATATCTGTGTTGTAATACGAACTGTGAAATATGTATGAATCATGAGGATATTTGGACAAAATTGATCGCCGAGCTAGCCTGTTGTTATTGTTGTTAACAACTATGGGACTATTTAAAAATGTAATAAAATGAAATAAAATAATAGCAAACCATGATGATTGAAGCGTAACCATACATGAGGGGAAAAATATATATATAAGCATTACTGGACTATATCACGAATGTACTGAGACCGACTTACATATGAGAGCAAATGGTGGTACTTAGAGGTACATACGTATCAGGTAGCGTGATGCAGGTTTAATTGATCACATGATGGCGCATCGAAGTTACTGCAGGCTAGGTCTCTAGGAGACGCGCTATAAGCAACCCGCCCGCGACAAAAGGTTCCATTAGGTTGGGAATGACGGAAGGTACCCAAGTTTCAACTCAGCCGTGACTCAGCCGTGACTCAGCCGTGCCGTCTATTTTGTCCATAACGGCCACCAAATCAGTTCTTTCCTGGATATTAAAGTTTTGAGATTCCGATCGTCGCAACCAAACGAAATTGCATTACTAACCTTCATTATTCGTTTGCCTTCTCCATGTGAGCAATTACGCCCACTAGCAGATGCCGTGCATCTCACATCCACCCTATCGCCATGGCGCCACCCGCAAAACGCCGGAAGCGAAACATCGTTTATGCCTCTTCAGACGATGAAGAAGAGTCAAAGCCGAAGCCTAATACCCTTACCAATTACCTCCTTTCCTCGCCTACTCAAAAGTGCGCTTCTGCGACAGATGCCTCCCGCGCTACAACGCCTTCGCCACGCCCTGCAAGGAAGTCGTCTCGCTTGCAGGCCTCTCAACCGCCGAACTCAGCTTCGACTTCTATGCCACTTCACCAAAGGAACAATGGATTCAGGGGTTTTAGTACGAGTCCGGGGAAGCCCAAGGCCCAGTCATTTGCAAAAGGGAAACGAGTGGAGAAAGAGAAGACGGCGGATCTTGTGACTATGTTTTCTAGACAGGCTCAACGGGTTCCGACGGCGTCCCCGACCAAGAGGGACGATATTATCAGCGATCCAATATCAGACGATGACGATGTAGGTGAACACAGGGCGGCAAGCACCAGTCGAGTCGGGCAGAACGCCCGTAAGCGTTTTCGGGATACGCCCCAACCGAGTAGCGGCCCGATAATTACATCAAGTCAGAAATTCCTCAAACCGCCCCGTCCTCAACAGGACCCAACTACGGGCGACGAGCAACGGCCCTGGTCGGAACGGTTCGGCCCTACAAATATAGAAGAGCTCGCAGTTCACAAAAGGAAAGTAGCAGATGTTCGCCGGTGGCTTGAAGATGTCATGGCCGGCCGGATGCGACAGCGGCTTTTAATTTTGAAGGGCGCTGCTGGAACAGGGAAGACAACTACAGTTCGACTCCTTGCTAAGGATATGCGCTGCGAACTACTCGAATGGAGAAACCCTGTTGGTTCTCTAGGCGCAAATCAAGGGCTCCAGTCAGCCTCAGCGCAGTTTGAAGAATTCATGGGGAGGGGTGGAAAATTCGGGCAATTAGAAATTGATCTTGACTCGACTCCTCCGAATCTCAGCAAGAACGATAATAATGATAATAATACGAGGAAAATCATCCTCATTGAGGAATTCCCAAACACTTTTACACGCTCGTCAATGGCTTTGACGACCTTTCGAAATACTATTTTGCAGTACTTGGCCGCTAATACGCCATCTCTCGCTACTTACGGTCGGCCAACTTCCATAGATTCTATCACGCCTGTCGTTATGATCATATCAGAAACCCTTCTAACTACTACTTCGGCGTCTGCGGATAGCTTTACGGCCCATCGCTTGCTAGGGCCTGAAATCACTCGACATCCGGGCTCTTGTATTATAGAGTTTAACGCTATTGCGCCTACTCTCCTCGCAAGCGCGCTCGAGTTAATCGTACAGAAAGAGGCGCGGAAGTCTGGACGGCGTCGGACGCCGGGCCCACTCGTTCTAAAGAAGCTGGGCGAAATAGGGGATATAAGAAGCGCAATCTCCTCACTCGAGTTTCTTTGCCTTAAAGGTGACGACGATGCGGACTGGGGCTCAAAGGTAGCCTTCACAAAACCCAAACGCGGATCTAAGAATGAAGTATCCTTGACTAAAGGCGAGGTGGAAAGCCTAGAGCTCGTCTCGCAACGCGAAGCAAGTTTAGGAATATTTCATGCTGTCGGAAAAATAGTATACAACAGACGAGATGAGCGTCCGATGAGTCAGCAAACTCCCGAGGGTCAGGCTGAAATATTACCTGACTTTATGGCTCATCATTCTAGGCCAAAACGGTCCGAGGTCTCCGTCGATAGCCTCATTGATGAGACTGGAACTGATACGCACACCTTTATTTCAGCGCTTCACGAGAATTACGCCCTGTCCTGTGAACCTAGTGGGCCTTCCGATCCAAGTTCCTCACTTGACTACATAAACAATTGCATCGAGTTCCTTTCCGAGAGCGATCTACTTTCCCCATCTTGGGATATCTTCTTCCGGGGCCGAGGGTTTGGCGCTTCGACATTCTCAGGACGAGACTCGGCTAGCCATGTGCTAAGACAAGATGAGATTACTTTTCAAGTCGCGACTAGAGGATTACTATTCTCACTACCAAATCCGGTGAAGCGAATCGCGAAAACCTCCGGACGCGGTGGTAGTGATGCTCACAAGATGTTCTATCCTACAAGTCTCAAGCTATGGCGGGAGAAGGAGGAACTTGAAGGAGTCGTAGACCACTGGGCGTCAAGATTGCTAAAAGGAGACGAGACTGGCCAGAATCTCACTCAAGGTGCTTCTGCCTTTAGACGGCCTAAGTCAGCAGCAAGCGGCGGTGGAGATTGGATCAGTAAACACCAGGCTTCTACACAACGCAATAGCAGCCAACAAGCCAAAAAGGCCGAACAGGACCAGGATCAACAGACAGCCCCATTGCTCTTCCTTGGGAACTCAGCTCGTAGGGAATTGCTACTAGAACGACTACCATATATGGCCCACATAGCACGGGGACGTAGAAGCGCAGTAGGTAACGTTCGGTTAAAGGAGATTGAAAAGGTGACCTCTTTTTCCGGCATTGGAGAAGCAGCGGACGATGACGCCCTCGACGGAGATGATAATATGGAGCAGGCGGGAGAAGCATGGGCAACTGACAAGCCTACCGAAGAATCATCGCCACGAAAGAAGAGCGTCGCCTTTGGCATACGGCAAAAGAGCGATATGCCTTCCCTTTCTACCGCGGCAATACCTTCCATACAGAAATTGGTTCTAAGCGACGATGACATAGAGGACGATTGATCCGCCCATTTTATTTCGTCCCATCCCAGATATGCTACGCAGGATATAGCTTACACGGTGCTTTCCAGGCTCCGATGTCTTGAAATAATGGCTATTCCCTCAGGTTAGGCTATACACACAGATGGAGTGTGCGGCGTTTTGGTGTTTTACGTGGAAAGGGTAGGGATGTGTGTGTCTATATATGTATATGTAGAATTGGGAATTAGGGTCACTGCTGTTGAAGATCCGGGGAGCTTGTGTATGAAGAGCGTGCCGTTCGGCTGCAGAACGGGGATAAATCGCATTCTACTACTATTCCGTAGAGCATATGTCTTAAGTGCATAAACAGTGTTTTGACTGGACTGGTGTGCTTGTTTTCCCTAATAGCTAGGTATCTACCTTAGGTAATGCAATTTTTAGATCTTGTTGAAATGTAGTTCTGTATTTGCTCGTAAAAGGAGTGGAAGGACCCGGGATGCCGGATATAAGTAGCCAACCGTGGACCCGGTCGGTTGGTTGCGTCGTATTTCGTATTGCTCGCTTTTGATTAAGCGTGCAGCAGACGCCGCGGCTCACGCCTAACCTGGTCTAAGCCCGATAGAGCCACGAGGAAGAGCAGGTATGTCCACCAAAGACCAAGGTTATCGGGGCAATAGGTGACATTGTGCTTTTGGAATATTGATACCCGGCTCGATTTAGTTATTTTTTCACTTTCATATTTGCGTAGTACGAGATGTCTAGCCATATCTTCCAGTGCTTCTTCACCCTCGCTTCCTAGTGCCATGATAGGTCGATCTTAGGCTTATGCGGTATATGTTGAATCGTGGCTGCAGCAGAGCTATTCTGTTGTTCGTCCGTATTCTACTTCTGCGTATACGCGGCAGCCGTATAGCTCGCGATGTCCTATGTGAGAGGATAGATCAGATTCGTTTCTGGTGTCCTCTGGAGTTACCCAGATAGATCCCCGAGCAGGTTGAGATTTCGCGTAAGGAGCCGTATGGTAATATGTTAGTGTTATATATATATCTAGTCTAAGTACCTTAGGAGCAATAGTTGTTTCCTACTTGGACGTAGAAAATATGGCGTATAAAATAGCAACTTTATTCCCTGCACTATTATAAACTACTTCACATATCCATACTTTGTTAGACCCCTACTTCTCTAATACGAACCATAACTTTCGGGAAGCGTTTATCTACCACAAATATCAACTATAAACGAAGAAGAACCGTTCCTAGTACGAACATCATATTATATTTAAAACAGAAAAATTCCAAGCTATGAAACCCGAGGGAAGATCGTCGCCCTCTACCCTCATCTTCAGAATCCGTGTCCTTGACGCCGTCATCGAAGTTCCCATCAAACACGATACAGCAGAGGGATCCGGAATAGAAGACGCGAAAGAATTGGATCTATTCCACAAACCCGACCACTCTGCATCCGTATCATCATCATCAAATAACGACGATGGAAATAATAGTCCCACACATACCACATCCATCGACGACCACACTGTCTCGCCATTACCACGCACCAGCCGCTCCCAAGACGACTTCCTGGCTCTCCTCACGCTACTGCCCGTGGAGCGGTATCTCCCATCGCCATCTTCGTCCACATTCTCCTTTTGTTCAGCCCACTACTTCGATCACGACGAAGGAGATGCAGGGAAGGGAAAGAACAATTCTAGTGACAGTAGGAGTAACAGTGAAGAGGACACTAGCAAGGTAACACTGGGAAGCCATGAGCTACTTACAACAGAGACAGCGCAGTCATGAACGTTATGTAGAGTCTAAGGGATGCGAGCGGATATAATAGTACCATCGTATCTTCAATTACCAGAATAAGATAGGGACATTTTCCGTGGACAATGACTATGTGAAGCTCTTTAAGTAAAGTGATGACAAGGCGCAGAGTCCAATATTCCGCAAATTCTACAACGAGAACACTTGGGCTAAGGAAAAGGGGCCGAAATACCGGCCTGATTAAGAATTCTAACACCTTACGACGTGATGAAATAGACGAGTGTAAGTTGATAGGCGGTCACTAAATAGTAAATATTCACAATATTTAAATATCGGTATAGAGGTACGACAAATTGGTATCTTTATTTTTGTCCCTTTGGACGTATTGCCGTGTTGAATAAATGCAATGCGGATGTTTAAGGTATTTTATCCGCCTTTACCAGACCGGTGACCCCATAGATGCCACTTTATCTGTGCCTTTGCCCAAACCAGGTATGTTGAAACCGTACGCCATGCTGCCATGCCCAAAATTTTCATGACATTTTCCGATGAGGGAATCCTATGTCTTCTAGATAACACACCCAACAACGCCAGTCGCAATGCAGAAAGAAGTTGATTCTTCCGCTACTATAAATGTGACAAGATCCCCCCAGCGGAACTCTACAATTCATTAGCTTAGAACTTGAGCGCCTTGGGCTGCTCCCAGGTGAATTCCTGGTTGGTACCGAAGTGACCGAACTTGGCTGTTTGGTTGTAGATGGGGCGGATTAGGTTAAGTTCCTTGGCGATAGCGCCAGGTCGGAGGTCAAAGTTGGCCTTGACGATCTCGACTAATTCCTCGGCAGTCTTGTCAGAGGTGCCGTAGGAGTCGACGTAGATAGAGCAGGGCTCAGCTACACCGATAGCGTAACTGAGTTGGACCAGCGCTCGCTTAGCGAGACCGGCAGCGACGAGAGACTTGGCAACCCATCGAGCAAGGTAGGCAGCAGATCGGTCGACCTTGGAGAAGTCCTTGCCGGAGAAAGCACCACCACCGTGGGCTCCCCATCCACCGTAGGTGTCGACGATGATCTTTCGGCCGGTAACACCGGCGTCACCCTGGGGACCACCAATGATGAATAGACCACTGGGTTGGAGCTATGAATAATTGTTAGTATTGCGTACACAGAATCGGAAATCACAGTCGGAATGGACTGATTGGGGTACAAAACTTACATGGAGGATAGTTTCATCATCAATGTACTGCTTGGGGATAACGGTGTCGATGATCTTGGACTTCAGCTCCTTTCGGACCTGTTCTGTGTTGACATCGCCACTGTGTTGAGCAGAGATGACAACAGTGTGGACTCTGAGGGGAACGACAGCGCCGCCATCGTGCTTGTACTCCATAGTGATTTGGGTCTTGGTGTCAGGTCGGAGCCAAGGGAGAGATCCATCCCGGCGAGCGTCAGACATAGCCTTGTTCAGCTTGTGGGCGAGAAGGTGGGAGAGAGGGTGTAGTTCGGGGGTTTCGTTGGTGGCATAGCCGAACATAAGACCTTGGTCACCAGCGCCCAACTCCTCGAGGGCCTTCTCGTAGTGAAGACCCTGAGCGATATCGGGGGACTGTTGCTCAATGGCAACGAGGACGTTGCAGGTCTTGTAGTCGAAGCCCTTGTCGGAGGAGTCATATCCGATGTCCTTGATGGCATTTCGGATGACGGCTTGGTAGTCGATGGTGGCCTTGGTCGTGATCTCACCGAATACCATGATCATACCGGTCTTGGTAGCCGACTCACAGGCAACCTTAGAGAGGGGGTCTTGCGCCAAGCAGGCGTCTAGAATGGCATCTGAGACCTGATCACAGATCTTGTCGGGATGACCTTCACCGACGGATTCGGACTACAATTGATCAGTTTGCTGTCCCCGAACTTGCTAACGCCGAGAAAGAAACATCATGTAATCCGTACTTACGGTGAAGAGGAAAGCCCCGGGGTTTCGGGGGGTGCTCAAGGAGCTAGCATGGCCGTTGGTAGCAGGCATTGTGACGGTAGAGTGTGAAGTAAGAAAGTACGAGTTGATTAATTCTATGCACCCAAAGAAAATGCGTAGCCCAAGAGTGTCTCTCGGAAGAAATGAAAAGTTGGGTTGGATGAGGGGGGGAAGGAGAGGTTTATGAAGGGGAGAGTAGAAAGCGGGAGTTTTTCCTTTGGGAATTTTTATTGGGCAAGAGAAAAAAATCGGAGGGGCAGGAACTGAAAATAACAACTCGAATGGCGCAATTTTCCTCGCTTGTCGCTTGCACTATATGCCGACGTAGACTTATGTACTATGGCATACTTTTATACTATGGTAAGCTATGTACTTCTATACCTTAGGTACGAAGCTAGGTTAGTGGGTTAACCAAACCTAGCACTAGCTGTCCCTGAGCCGTGGATCGTGGCATCTAGACTAACTGTTGGTAGGAAGGAAAGACTACCTGAGTGGGGCAAGCCGAAGGAATTTTCTCAGGAGGAGTAAGAGGGGCGCAAATAATATTATGTATACTATGTACTTTAAACCTACAAACACTACAATTTAGTACATACGAAGGAAGACTCGGAGTAACAGTAACTTCACTAGTAAATCTTATCTAGATCACGTAAAGTAACTCCATTTGGTAAGGTAAGTTGGTATTTTATTTAAAAGCAACCATCTTATCGGATATCAATAACTTTTACATTTCCCCGTGCGAACGTGCAGGCTTATCTTCCAACACATGCTCACTGCGGTCCCGAGCACACGCAGTATCTACGTCAAGTTTGGGAACGATCTTTACCCGAGTAGACCGTCGAGTATAGAACGGGAGTGTTATACATAAGCTTCAGAATGCAAGGCTTTTGTGCCGCTCGTTCGCATCCTGTCAGCATATACTTGGATTTCGTAGTAACTGGGGAATATTCCTTTGAATTCGACAAAACTAGAGCTAATAACCTGGGAATACCTAGGCTGTTTACCTAATTCTCAGTCTCTTCAGTCTCTAACAAGATGTGTAAGAGCCATCCAGGTCTTTTTCCGACTTCCGTAACCTCCGTCCTAGGTCTTACCGCATCCCTATGAAGGCATGTACTACGCGGGGCAGTTCCATAGACTGAAGCTCATTCTCAATTATCCATTACCATTGATCCATTCGGGACCCTTGGCTGCCACGTCTGCCCCTCTCGAAAACGTGCACTAGGTCCACCGATTGACAGGGGCTCCAACTTCGGCACCTGTCTTGGAGTCTCAAAGGTCTACCACACTGCCACAGTAGTCGGGCTGACAGTAGTATGCTACAAAAAATCGGTCGAACACTTTCGGCGTTCGGCCGGCAAGGTTTACATTCATATAATACAGCCCGGCTCATCATATATCCAATAACTGCCCTTGCAGCTATTGCGTGCTATATAGAGCACTAGGTCGACTTTACTAAGCGAAGGATTCTCAGCCCTCCTTCGCTCTATCTCTCGTACCTTGGATTTTCATGCCCCAGAAGCAAGGTCCGCAACCGGTGGCCTACAAAGCTTGCTTACATGTATTACACCTTCGTAACCCACCTTATATTCCTGTAGCATCTCGGGGAGTGTGGCATCTCAGCACGGTACAGGATGGAACATTTTGCCGGAAAGCGGTAAATTCCATTGGCATCGGAGCGGTCCATATTCCGGAATTTCAGAGTCGAATTCCGTCAAGGCGGTGAGAGAATATTTAGCTTCAGGTACATACTATAGTAAAAATCTAGGTATAATGCCCATCAAAGCTAATCGTGACACTTATACCTGCAAGATTAAGATACAAGATACATGTTCATATTCATCTTATTCTTTATGCAGTAAGAGAGGAAGCTTACGAGATAACTTGGTCAGCTCAGCCCCACTCTACATTTTGGACCCTCAGTCTCAGACCCTTTGATTCTAACCCTTGCCCCTCCACTATCCTGCTATCTCAACCGTGCATCATGCAGTATCGTTTTTACCCCACCATCTAAGAAAAATTCCTCGACTGGCGCTGAGTGTTTACTATGTACGCCACGGTCAAGACGAGGCTGAACACTTACTAGGTCCAGTCTTACCAGGCATTCCGTTATTCCCTTATCCGATCAACTGAAACCGCCCAGGCTGCGACGTAATCGTCTCATCTAGATATTAAATAAACCTTGGTAATACACTACATCATGAGTAAGTTTGGGGTTATGGTAATGGGCCCCGCCGGGGCTGGCAAGGTATGTAATGGTTTCTTCTTTGCGCTACGTGTAACCTTCCCTTATCATCACGATGCTTGTCGAGTTTATCGAGCTTGTTGAGATGCTTGCTGGAGCTTTGTGCTATCTGGAGTTCGGATGATGGATCAGTATTAACGTTGCCGTCCAAAGTCTACCTTTTGCGCCTCCCTCATAACCCACCTACAACTTAACCGTCGCTCTTGCTTCTACGTCAACCTCGATCCCGCCGCCGAGTCCTTCGAACACACGCCAGATCTAGACATCAAGGATCTAATATCGCTTCAAGATGTCATGGAGGAGATGGGCCTTGGCCCGAATGGCGGTCTTATCTACTGTTTCGAATTCCTCATGGAAAACCTCGATTTCCTAACGGAGGCATTAGACTCCCTCACTGAGGAGTATCTAATCATTTTTGACATGCCCGGTCAAATCGAGCTTTATACCCACGTTCCCATCTTACCCGCCCTCGTCCGATTCTTAACACGATCCGGCTCTCTTGACATTCGGCTCTGTGCTGCCTATCTCTTAGAAGCTACTTTTATCGTGGATAGAGCCAAGTTCTTTGCTGGTACTCTGAGCGCCATGAGTGCCATGATCATGTTAGAGGTCCCTCATATCAATATTCTGTCAAAAATGGATCTCGTGAAAGATCAAGTCCGCAAGAAAGATTTGAAACGATTCCTCACGCCAGATACTGGTCTACTGGATGATGACCCAGATGAGCTTGCTCGGCGAAAGGCAGAGGGTGTGACAGAAGAGGAGGACGAGGCGGCAAACCCCCAGGACAAGGACGCCGTCATGCGAGGTTCAAGCTTTCGACAGCTCAACAGGGCAGTTGCAAACCTGATTGAGAACTTTAGCATGGTTAGTTACCTAAAGTTAGATGTGCAAGATGAGGACAGCGTTGGGGCCATTCTCAGCTATATCGATGACTGCATTCAGTATCACGAAGCTCAAGAGCCAAAGGAATTAAAGGACGATGAATTTGACGACATGGATGATGGTATGGACGGGTGATTTCTTAGTAGCGGACAAAAAGGATTTGCCCAAGTATAATTCAAAAAGAAATATGGCATAGGGATTAATCACTAAGGGCAACGTTGGACACATGTAATTGCATAGCGACGGCGTACTGGCTTGAGGCAATTCAGATACCAAAAATTGGAGTACATTTGGCACATACTGCATACTGTCATGCTGTTTATTCATTCTGTACAAAAAGAAAAGAAAAAGCAATTCGTAGTCATAACTCATTCCCAACCCGTGATAAAACCATTAAACGACGAGATGCCCTAACCCCTTTTTTATTTTTCAATCACACGCGTAGCACTAACCCTGTCCCGAGTCATCACCAGGCACTATTTCTCGACCTGGTGTAACCTCCCGAAGGTGCTCCCCGGGTCCCAGCAGGGGCTCCACCGCGCTTGGTCTGGGCATCAAACTTCTGGTATTCAGACCACCAGATATCCTTGACAAGAGAGGCGTAGCCGGCCAACTTGCTGACAAAGACAACCACATCGCGGATGGTGGCTTCGGGGCCTCTACCCCAGACAAAGGCTAGCAGGGCGAAGAATAGAGCCCAACCCATAAGCCGGAAGGCTAGACGCGTTACGTACATCATGGTGCGCTGTACGAAGGATATGACCTGGATGACAAGCACGAAGGCGGCTAGGACAAAGGCAAGGACGACTAGGTCGGGCGAGTCGTGCAGGGCTTGCATGCCGCGCTGGACGAGGGGCGCGAGAACGGGCGATAGTGTTGCGGTTGCTTTTTGTGTGAGGGTGGTGGTCTGTTGCCATATGGCTCGAAGGGCGGTCTGTGGGTCCTGCATGTGGGCTTGGATGAGGGTGAGGGTCTGTTCGGGCAAGATGCCTGGGGAGGAGGAGGGGTTAGCGGCTTGTTCGGATAGATATTTAGGAGATGAAGATGTGGAGTAGTGTAGGTGTGTGTGATAAATACTTCGTAGCACGGATAATAATGATATAAGACGGGGGAAATGGATTGAATGATTGAATAGAGATGAAGTTATTCTGAACGTGAAACGCGGTGAATGAGAACTACATACCTTGTAAGGCGTCGAATAACGCGGAATCACTGCCTCGGTCCATGGTTGGGATTGTGTTTATGTGTATTTCGTCCGGACTAGCCTTCTCTAGGTAGGCAGTAAAAGGAATGCGATGGTGCGACACCGAAGCTGTGTCGTGAAAAGTGAATATCGCAGAGGGAAAGAGCCGAGCTGAGCTGGGCTTGTTTTCGCTGAGAGAATCGGGTCACCGCTAGACCCCTAGAGCTAGCTACCTTGATTGAGAAAGCTAGAAGTGATAGGTATTGTACAAAGACGCTAACGGTGGCGAAGGACGACAGAGCAAAGGTGAACACGACGTCGACCTATGCGATAACAGATAGTTGTTGTCGTTATGTATAGGTAGGTGAGGGAATAGATGGGAAAATATAACACGTCGGCTGGATTGTGGGAGGAAAGAACAAGTTTACCGAGCTTTGATGGTGGTGGTGGTGGTGGTGTGCAACTCTCTCTCTCTTTCTCTCTTTTTTTTTTCTATGTATTATTTACTGACCCCAGGTCGACAAATGGGTTCACGCGATTGGTAACAGGCGGTGATGACGATAACTGGCGATAACTGGCAAAGAAGTGGAGGGATTTTCGCACGGCAAGATATGATTGGCTTAAATGCGGGTTCTAGAGCAAGGGATGATGTCTGTGCACAGGGTTCTTTGTGGGTCTGCCTTTTTTAAGGGGTCGCGAGATCTCGATTTTCACGTGCCGTAATGTCTTTCTCTTTCTTGTCATTTGTTATTCGGAGAATTAAAGTAACCATGTGCCTTATTCGAGGAATACATAGGTGTACATACCTATATATATCGAAGAACAATCGTGATGATTCCTCTCAATTTTTTACATTCGATGAAGATCTAGGCAGGAAATTGTCAGGGTTAAAACCTAACATGCACCCTGAATGCATCGTCTGGTTCCTTCTGGGGCTCTCCACGGTCTTTGTCCACGAATCTGACCTATCAAACTCCCCGAGCGCTGGCCGGGCATCGGCTTGCTTAAGAAATCAGGCGTTGTTAGCGACATGCCCGACTTCCTCTGCAGCATCATACGTGTAAAATATCCATTATCCAACATTTCCAATATCTTCATTTGATGCCTGAGTGGGACCCCAAGTTCGAGACCATAATTCTTCGCGCTTTATTGTAGTACCGAATGCTGTTGATGGCGTTACTTAGTTTAAGGCCCCACGGCTCCACCTGGGTCACTCACGTTCGTCTGTCACGTTCACGATATAAGCTTCTGTTAGAGTATTGTCATTATAGGTATGCGATCCGCGGGTAGTTGGGGCAAGAATATTATCAAATATTTCTAGTAAGGCCAGAGTCTCGTAGGTAAAAGAGGCACTTTTACTAAATTAAGTTTTTCTATGTCGCTCTATTGTAATGTTGCTCTATTGTAATGTTAAAACTACTATAGAATTATGCAGTGAATAGTATATTCTTAGCCTTTTAAATTGTCTACATAGGCTTCATTTACTTGAAGTCTTTTGAGGGGTTGTGATTGATATACTAACTATAATTGCTTAGTTGAGAGTGTGGACACCCAGCCGAGTCTACCTATTATCGTGAATATCGGACTCTCTTAAATATATAAAAGTGTTAGTTTAATAAGTATAATGGGCTCTGAAAAAGGTTAAGGGTCATTATATTCTAACAATAGCCCTCATCTCTATTCTTGATCCTTCAAAGGTTCACCATCCTGTATAGCCCGTAGAGAGTTACCAAGTAATAACTGTAACTAACAAGAAGCTCTTATTGGTTCTCGTACTAAATCGCACCAACAGTGACTGGATTCAGACATGGCCTTTTCTCTCTTCATTCCAAGATCCAGCTAGACAGTTACTTAGAACGTAGACATTCTCATACCGTATCATGATTCATGACATCCACATCCTTACCATGACCATAAGAAAAACCACATGCGCCATGAACCTAATCTTCTAAAGTGCCAACTTAGTAGTGTACAATTCCCAAATATCCATACACGATGCATCATCATATCCCATATATCCAGCTGAACATGATCACGCCAGGCACCTCCTTTCCCTCGATATAGGGGTCTCTCTCCTAACTCACACCTCTTCCACCAAACTTAAATCCCCAACTGCCCATTCGACATAAAATGCGAGCCCCCAGCACACCTATACCCATCTCCCTGCGGAATCCACTCGTAACCCACCGGACACCTCCCCATCCTCATGAGCTTCTCCTGCATCGCCTTCTCCTTCTTCACCCGTTCCTCCTGTTCGCGACGTGCCCGCTCCGCCAGCTCGTGTCTCACACGCGCCTCCTCCAGCTTCCGCAGTTCCTCGCGGCGCTTCGCCTCGTCCTTTTCACGCCGCAGCGCTTCCTCTTGCAGACGCAGCTGCCGCTCGAGTTCCTCGGCTTCGCGCTTCGCTTTGGCGAGGTCGAGCTGCCGCTGCTCGAAGGCCGCTCTGTCGCGCTGCAGTTGCTCCCATACTGCGTCGGAGACGCCGGCGTCGCGGATGCTGGCTTTGCCTTTTGGTGGGCCGCCTGGGCCGTCCGAGTCTTTCTTGGGGGGTTCTTCGTCTTTTTTCTCGGCGGCTGGAGCCGTGTCTATCGCGGTCGCGGTTGAGATCTTCGGCGGTGGTGGAGGGTCCTGGAAGGCTTGCTGGAGGGGTAGGGAGGAGAATGGAAAGGGGTTGGGGTTGGCAGTCTTGGCTCGCTTGGTGCGTTCGTCGAGCATGGTTTTGATGACGTCTATGACGATATCCTCGGGTACCGTGCGGCTAGGATTAGGCGTTTTCGACTTCATGATCTTGGAGAAGATGGACTTGACGAGTGTCTGTACATCGCGAGCGTTGCCCCAGGATGGTGTCTGCGCAAGTGTGCCGAATAGACTTAATAGTTTGCCGTCTAGTGTAGGCGATGCCTCTAGATCCTTTGTGTCTAGCTTCTTCTTCTGTAGGCATTGTAATAAGAGGTCCCGACAGTGGCGTGGTGGAAGGTTAGGGAAGGAAATTGTCTCTGGGAATCTGCTGGTCAATCCGGGGTTTTGGTTCATTAACCGATTAATGTCATTGTCGTAGCCCGCGAGAACTAGTATTTAAAGTCAGCGGTTACGATTTATAACGGTATTGGGAGTAGCTTTGAGCTATAGTTGATTTAAATCATAGTGTCGTAATATTAAAACTCATCTTCGAGGATGTAATTTAGGAATTGGTGCAAGAAAGATAAGCACTCTAGGATGATACTTACTGACTACAAGTTTATTGTGGTAACGTTCCTTGGTTAGACAATCGACAATCTCATCCATCGCTTCCTTGGCAAAGTGACCTTCGGCAAGCCTATAGGCCTCATCGATGAAGAGTACTCTTCCCAGGGCTTCATCGAACTTCTTCTGGACTTTGGGTCCGGTGTGGCCAACGTATTGGCCTATTAGATCTGTTGCCGAGCAGTCCACCACAGTAGCATCCGCGAGGAATCCCATATCATAGTATACCTTACCCATTCTTCTCGCCGTCGTAGTCTTACCGGTTCCTGTCATGGATTAGAAATAGTTAATACACGCCGGGGAAGGCGATTTACCTGGCGGTCCACGAAAGAGGAACCCGAAGGGGATTTGTGAACAGGGATCCATATCCATGGCTTTCATGTTCTGGACGACTTGTTGGTAGCCTTCCAACTGCTCGACGATTTCTTCGCACCCAATAACATCTTTGAAAAGCATACGGATATTAGTTCCGGCACGCTCGCTTCTGTCGAATTCAGGGTCAATATCCGCAGGAATTAGGACGTCGGTGTTCTTCTTTTGAGGGGACATCGACAGACGTTTCTGTTGACTATCTTTAGCCCGGTCGAGGATGATATCGACTTCGCCCGCATTGCCAAAATTGGGTCTATTACGCGCACGTCGGAGGACTTCGCCAACAACCCTCTTTGCAGGTTCTCCGGCCCTAAATCCCTGTTGTTTCAATTTCAGGTCGAGTATCTGCCGAAGTTCACCATCATCATAGTCTTGGAAGTTGAACCCAGATGACATGGGGAACCGTCGTGTTAAACCCGGATTGACCTTTTGGAACATATCCTCCATCATCTCCTTGTAACCGAGTAGCAAGACACATCTATCTTCGAGTGCGGTACTTTGGACTTCGGCAACGATGGTATCCACAACCGCTGTCTTATACGGGTCACTAAAGCCCCCTGAATCTGAACTCCCACCAGCAAGCATGTAGGCTTCGTCGATGATAAGAACCTTCCCTTTAGTAGACTCGAGAATAGCTTTAGTATTCTTCTCGGATTGACCAAGGGCCGCGCCAACAAAGTCTGATGGGTTTTTAATGACGACTTCACCATTGCTCAAGAGACCTAGGGCTTTCAATATCTTGCCGTAGAGCTTTGCAACTGTTGTCTTTCCAGTTCCAGGGTTCCCGAAAAAGACTTTATTCAAAGAGCATTCGACAGGGGGTTGTTCCTTCAACTCTCGCTCGTAATTTGTCTGTAGGCGGTCGACGAGAACCATGACCGACTGCTTGACCGAACCCAGTCCGATCATGCTTTGGAGTTTCTGCCAGTCTTTATTACTAGAAAATTGCTTGCTTGGTTCTGGGCCGATGAGATCAATTTTCTGAAGCAACAAGTCATTCGGTCGGTTTCCCTGACGCCTCTCGTGATGTAGGCGATCCGCCTGTCTTCTGAGGATAATTGTCAGTACGTTCTCCACCTGGCGGGCGTTGCCGAACCCTTCTCTCCCTCGACCGCGACCAATACGCCGCGCCGCAACCCGCATGTACAACCCTTCAGATCCGCCCTCGACCTGCATGCGGCCGTTGTACTTCTTCGTCAGCTGATAGTTCATGATTTTGAGCAGTTCATCATCTTCGTAGTCCTGGAAACTCATCTCGATGGGGATACGGCTAGGGATGCCTGGATTGTGGGCGAAGAAACCCTCCATCTGTTTCCGGTAGCCGGCGAAGACGAACACAACCTTGCCCGTGAGGTTCTCTATCTCTGCGAGAAGGAAGTCAAGCACCTGAGCGCCACCAAAAGAACTTCCAGACACAATTTGGTAAGCCTCGTCCAAGAAAAAAACGCCACCACCTTTTTCAAGGATCTTATCTATCAACGCCTGGCAGCCCTGTATACCGTCATTAGCCAACCTTGAGCCGGTAGTCTCCTCAAAGTGGTCACCGGGGATCGCCCCAACGGAAGATAGGAACTTGGCGTATAATCTGGCAACTGTTGTTTTGCCTGTGCCAGGATTCCCTAGCAAGGCGGCCCCGAATCTTTCATTTTTGGTGTCTACCCCCTGGCGAACGGCGGTATCGATCCTTGCCTTTATTGCTAAGAACTCCTTCTTCACACTCTCTAACCCAATCATCTGAAATAGAGAGTCGAGAGCTTCATTGAAAGCATTCTCGTACTTCTTCTGATACTGCCAATCTGTTTCGGCTGCTGAAGGTCCCCTAGATGGGAACGGCTGACCTTGAGGGGTTCCCGGTGTGCTACCACCAGGGCTATCATTCTCATCGTGATCAACGTGCTCACTATTGTGACTATCATTTTTACCATCGTTTTTACCGTCATTGCTAGCGCTATTGGTACTGCCATCATGACCATTCCCGTTACCATTGTTAGTATTGTTCTTGTTGCCGTTGTTGTTGTTATCATCATCGTTATGTTTCGTACTCGGAGTGGATGTATTCTCGGCAGGCCATTGGCCTGGCATGTTCTTGGTAGGTGGGTTTTCAGGTCGAGGTGTTTGGTTATCATCTTTACTAGGCTTGCCTGAATCCTTAGTCGGTTGTCGCTTACCTTTGGTGTCTGGTACAGGATTGCTATTGTTAATGACAGGTTTCCGGGCCTGTTTTGTCAACTCAGCAAGTTCAAGGCGATGCTGCTGTAGAGTCTGCTCCTTTATTCTCTCCTCCTGGGCATCTTTAATGATCTTCCTCTGCTTTTCGATGTCTTCTTGGAGGACCTTCAGCAGCTTGGCGTATGCGAGCTGCTTTGCTTGCCGCTCAAGTTCTAGCTCTTTGTCTCTGCGGGCTCTTCGGGCCTTCTCTTCCTGCTCTCGACGGCAAACTTGACAGGCGGGTGGGGTCTTGTTAAAACAAGCCCATGTCAGTTTATGCTTCTGTGGACAATGATCGTTGATGATCGCGTCGCAAGGCATTTTGGAATGGTCGACTCGTATATGACATCGCTTCGAGCACGTATGCTTACCGCAAGATAGCAACTCGTTGCATGGCAAAGTGCACCCCCCGTCTGGGCAGTAAAATTCAAATTCATCAGGTGAACGAACAATATGCTTCGTCTCTGGGTGCTTTTCGCATCTTAGCGGGAATCCGTCCTGGATTCTCCCATCCTTTTTCAAATGGTCAAACAATCTTATCCATTCATCTCGCCCCTTCTTAGCATTCATGAAGGTGCTCGCGTTACCGATCATGATCAACGCATTTCGAGCTCTGGAAATAAGCACGTTGAGCCGTTCTGGGGCACACATGAATCCAATATCTCCATCGTCATTACTGCGAGTCAATGAGGCAACGACGATATCACTTTCTTCTCCTTGGTAATTATCTATAGTTGAAAGTCGAATAGCCGTTTTATTTACTTCTGCACTTGCGGCTGGAATTTCTCCGGCTTCGACAAGATCGTGGGAGTCGAGGTCGTTCAAGGTCGGATCATGGTCCTTGCTGAGTTTGTTCCTGAGTAATGATAGCTGGCCCTATGGTATATTAGCGACTTCATGCTATGCAATTATTTGATCGACACTTACTAGGTATGGGGTCAAAATTACTATATTCGAAGTTTTATAATTTTGCTGTCCCAAGTAGCGAACACACTTCAAAACCATATCCGCTTCGAAAATGTTCTGCTTACTTGATCCAGCGGTGGGATCAAGCTTGTCGACAAGAATATTGTGCTTCGCTTCGAGGTTATTATGATTGATGAAGACAACATTGTCTTGAAATCCCAAAAGTTGTGGTCGACCTTGTGTATCGTTTGCGTCTTCCAGATCAGGATAATTATGTCTTATCAAAGCCGAAATCTCTGGCCTCATTCTGTGTTGGTTTAATAGTGTGCAATGCGGTTGCCCCTGGACTATGAGCCGCTCAAACAACGACCGGTTGAGATCAAACCCGTGTCCAGCTTCCACGGTAAGCTTGAAGTTCTTTACCTTCGGTCGAAGCTGCTTGTGGTCGCCGATTTGGATGAGCTGTTTCGTGCTAGGCCCCATAGCCGCGAGGATGTCTTGAATATCTCGAATTAGCGACTCATACTAAGAGAACAAGGCAACAGGATTTCTCTGTTACAACAGTCGACATATCTTTGCATAAACATGGATGACCACAGATATACCTGACAAGGGGATAGGGGTTGGTAAATAGCTTTGGAATATACGTACGGCTTTCTAAGATTTCTCCTGCCTCCTCAACGATAATAATCCCGGGCGCAGCGGACTGTATCTCTTGTGCATACATTGATGCTGCCGTAGTAGTACAGCAGATAATCCGCTTGCTCTGAAGAGTTTGCTCTGTTTTCTCCTTTCGCAAGCTTTGCAAGGTCTTGTAGGTTTTGTTGAAGTCAGTAATCCACTTGGCGAGCGTGGAAATCCTCTCTCGATGAATTTCGTGTTTCCACTCCTCGATCTTCGCCTGCCTATCTTGCTTCTTCATGGCCCATACCTCCTTAGATGAAGCTTCTGACTTATCCTTAGCGAACGGACCGGGTTGCTTTCCATTTGCCCAGAGGTCGAAGAGATAGTCGGGTTTCATCGAGGCACCTTTCTTTCCAACACGGGTCTCGCCATCCGCTGCTTCTGGAATTTCGAGCGCATCAAAAAAGTGACTCTCCGTGTCTGAGAACTCGAGAAATTCCAATAGATCATTATGAGATATTCTTGCTTCCGAAAAGGAATCGAAATGTTTTTCTACTCCTTCAGCCAATGACTGCAACTTGGCTTTCTCGGCGTTAATCAGGTCGTGCCGAGTCCTCGATAATCTAACATAGCCGGCCGTCTGAGAATTTTTCAAGGTAAGAGATTCAGTTCGATCAGTGAACTTCGATCCAAGTCGGACAATAGCATTGCGGTCAATCCCAATGTCGAGCAAGTCCTCAATGAATTGGTCAAGTGCATGGTTCGTGAATGATAAAACCAGCAACGTCTCCTTTGTTTCATCGAGTAAGATCTTCGTTAGAAGAGCGCCGACCAAGGATTTTCCAGTTCCTGTATTATAGGTTAGAGTTTATAGCCTTATAGCAGCCGTTCTCGGGACTTTCATACCTGGTGGACCTTGTATCTGGCATGTTTGATATTGTAACCCGTATATGAGGGCTCTAACTTGCGATGGATCTAGGTTGATGTTCTTTTCGGCATTAATAAGCCGCTGTAAATCAGTTGGGGTAGCTAAAGACGCCTCCAAGGCATCGATGATGGCCTCCGGCTTAATTGGCGACTCCTGTGGTTCCTTCGAACGAACTAGGATATCGTGGTCAAGTTCAACATCAGTCTTCCGCTTAAGTCTCTCCAGGATTGGCTCGTAGGCGAAAATAGGGGTTGAAACAAGTAAAAAGTCAACTGTGCCTCTTTGCAAAGCAAGCAAAAGGTCTGCAAGCATACTATCTTCGCCTACAACCTGTAAGCAGATACGAGGTGGGTTAAGCGATAGTTTGTCTTCGTTCCTATCCAGAGATGCAAATGCGAGGAGAGCATCATCCTTCATAAAACAACCAAAGCTTTGGTGCTTTAGGAATGCTGGCGTCTTCTTCAACTCCTTTTTCCTATCTTCGATGCTCGCTTTCTTCATGTTCAAAATATCCTCCGAGCATCTGAGCACTAGATTGCACGGTCGGTCGTTTGTCATCGATTCCTTGTGTATATCCTCCAACGAGAGATCTTTAATGACCATATTTCTCCAATTCTGCCTTCTGGCTTTGTTCCTCATGTTCTTGAGATCTTCGCGCATATCTGCGAGCATATCTTCTCTAAGGAGACGGAACTGGTTATCGAGATGATCAAGCGCACGATTTATGTTCCCTTCTTCGAATGCCACCCCAGCCTGCATGTAGAAGGGCCTCTCGGTAGATTCCATCTCGGCCCTAGTAGGAAGGATTGAGATATCATGGTAATTAGCAAAGTCGTTATCATGGCGGCCCCCTGGACTAAATTTATTGACCAGGTGAGAATTCGCAACAGACTGCGAAGGCTGGACTAATGCCCGGATCTTCTGAAATATGCTTCCAGATATCGGAGATGATGATTCCTCGAGTTTCTTGAGAGTGTCGTCCTGGCAGAGCGACAGTGCAGTTTCTCGGAACTTGGACGACCGCGGCTGTGGCAATAGTATTAACTGCAATAGTAGCCAAGCGAAGCCTTCCACGACTTGAGTCTCAAGTTGATCAGACTTTACGTTCTGGATTAAGCTATCCCAGAATAACGATGGGTCAACCATAACCCAGAGGACTTGGTTGAGGAGTTCTCCCTCGCAAACCCTCTGCAGGGCAGGGTCCGCGAGGAATTTCAAGAGATTGGAAACATGACTGTTGATGAATTGAGGGGAGGTATCTATAGTTAATGACTTATGGAGGGCTTCTTGACCACTTTTTGACGAAGCCAATCTCTCGATGCAATCTGGCCTGTCAGTTCTGTTCACAATGGACTCAAGGAACTTTTGTGCATCTCTAACCCCGGTTACTTTCCCTTTCCCTTCAAGTATTCTATAGAAAAACTTGTCAAGCGCTCGAGATCGGAAGCTAGTGTCCTGATCTTGATTTGGCGATGGTCCGCTCACAGCTGCTTGGTATGACATGGCGCTGTCGTCGATAATGAGCAATGTTACCTGATTAGAAGATTGACGAAGCTTTAGGAGAAAGTAAGGACATTACTTCTTCCACCAAAAAGAAGTAAAGCAACATAAGGCAAACAGTTGAGACTTTCTACTAGTTGTGGTGACAGACTTGATGCCCCTCGATTTTCGAGTCCAAGTCAATAACGTGGCTTTCGAACCGGCAGGCCGCATTATCTCATATAGGTACCTATCATATCTCATATTTCCATAGCCAACATGCATACATGTAACACAGTACCGTGCGGGATTCAACTCGATCATATAACAAGTGTCTATCATTTGGCCTAAGTGCGGAGTAAATTATGCCTATCATGCGGGCACACGAACACAAACACGCAAACGCGCGAACGCGCAATAGAGAAAATGGGAGATTCCTCATACTACTCGATGCTACTTGATGCCAACACACTTCATCTTTAGGCACACTTACCGCAATATCCGCAGCTAGGATCACACGCTGTGAAATCTAGCGAGAAATCATCATCAGAATCATCCGATTCGTCAGATTCGCCCTTCCGAGAAAGCAGGCTGGGATAACTGTCGTCCTCGTCCTCATCACTCAAGCAGGCTGTGCCATCGCTGCCTGGTCCCTGATTCTGCCTAGCCCATATATCCCTCCAATCACTTGGAAGTACTTCCCGAGGTTTACCGGCCTGCTCCCTTAATTCGAGTGGTCCTGAGTCAGTTCGACACAGTTCGAGCTTCAAATGACCTGCCCGTTTGGCCTCAACAATCAATTGGCGTAGAATGGAAGCGAATTTCTGGAGTTCGGATTGATGGCTACTTTCCCAATCGAGCAATTCTTTCTCGACGGCTTTTTCTTGAACATCTTCGAAGTTTCCTGTAACGTGATATGCCGTGACGAAGTTAGGAATTTGACGAAGCCATAGCCTAGGCAATTGCTCATCCATATCAACTGGCGCACCGACTTGAGATCTTGCCTTAGATCTCGTCTTAATTTCAATGATTGACTGCTGAGGTATGATCGCTCCGGCTGTCTCGATAGCGGGGGATTTTGAAAGGTTCAAGCCATCTAGTTTAGTAGTCGTAGCAGTGAAATCCTCTCCATCACTTGCTAAATATCCGTCGCATTCAAAACGAACGAGACATTTCAGCCCGCTGAAGGAATAAGAGACGATACGCTGATGTGATTTTGTTTCCCGCATCTTGGGTTCATAAGAAGTGAAGGAATCTAAGAAGGAATGGCCATATCCACGGACGTCAGGAATAACTTGATCGCGACAGTTACGAATCAGGAATAAAGTATCTCCAACCATTTCAACATCGAATCTGAAGGTTAAATTGACCGATCGTACGAACCGGAGAATGTCTCCTAGGGAACTCGCGCAACCCATAATGTCAACTCCTGAAGTGTCAAACCCTTCATTCAGAGAAAGAAGGGAATGGACAGAGGGCAGCATGGGGTGTTCGGGAAATCTTGCTCCATTGTGATCTCGAAGATAATCGCCACGATCTCCAGGAAGCTGCGAAGGTAATTGAGGTGGCGTCCATTTTGCTGGTTCTCCTATTTATCGTGTTAGTATTTTGGTGGCTATTGATATTGGTGACATACCTGGAACGATAATTTTGGGTGTTTTAGAGTCGACTAGAGAGTACGATGCTGCGTATTTGCAATCGCTAATCTTCGCATCACCCGCTTGCGTGTTATAATTTGAAGCACTTCCTAAAGTAATCTTCGTGATAAGCCGGCCGAGAGGGGCATCATCAATAGTACTCCTAGATGGTTGATCTTTGTTTCGGCTCGAGTTAGGACCTTGTTCTCTCCCACCATTGCCTCGTCCTCGTCCTCGCCAGCTACCACTACCACTACCAGTACCGCGACCGCGACCGCCACCACGGTCCCGCCATTGACCACGGGCGGCGTTCGAAGGCCCTCTAGGAATCAGCGTGCTCATATTCGAGTAACGTAAACCGAGAATTTGAATAGATGGTGAAGAGTATATTGCTGTGAGTATCTTTGAGATAGTAACTTTGGGATTACAACTAACTTATATAAAATGATACCTAGGTGATTTCCGTAGGCTCTAAGAAGTAGAACAGCAACGATGCATATGAAGAACTGTGGCATGTCTATTGGTCATGGATTCATGCACAATCATATGCAAGTTTCCGTTACACAACTCATTACCTCTGTCTACCAAAATTCGGGTAAGACGAGTGACAGCTTTCTCTCGCCTTGCCCGCCATACCCCGCGAAAAGGCAACCAACATCAAACCGACCCATGGCCACTGAGAAGAATTACGACGACATAGCATTTGGATCGTGCTTAATATTACTAAAATGAAGGCTAACTTATTGATTTACCGTGGACTTATGTGATGGGTGAGATAAACCAAAAAGGGGGTGAAGTATGAAATCGAATGAACAAGATAGGTAACCTGCCAGCAATACACCTAACAGGTACCTATACAGTATTACTACTTCAGGCTTTCTCAAAACACAGTGCGAAAAGTGCATAATAAGTAAAGATCACATATGTTGAGTTACTTCAGCTATAACAAGACTAAATACCTAAGGTACATCAAGGATAAAAATTAACTCCAGTTAATATTCACCTATTCTCTTACATGACTTTCAATCTCGTATAGCTATTATTTACTAGTCTGTCTATAAGTAGGTTCTTTTGCGAAGAGGTTATATCAAGGCCTACGCTTATTTGTACTACTATCATGAACTTCCAAACCGACCAGCCACAGCAACTGCCTCTTGATGATTATCCCCTATCCTTACTGCGTAACTTGCCAGAACCTCGATCTAATGAGCAATAGCCATCACCTTCTATCAAATAGTCTGAATTCTACTCTCAAAAATAGCCGCATGGTTTGATATGGACGACCCGTGCCCACCGGATCCGGTGAAACTTGCCGTTCATCCACTACCCCAAGCTCCCTTCCCACGACAGCTAGTACGGCATCGACGAAAAGTACTCCAAGTTATTTAAATCATAGGACGTTCCGGACTTGTACGCTCCCCCAAAATGGAATCGAACTGCTATGTCCTTACACCACGCTTCCAAATTAAGTTCAGGAGCATATCGACCAAGTGAATAGTGTAGAAGGGGACGATATACTCACAGATATAGATAAGCTATACCGTAGCTATGCCCGAATTATAATACGTTGGCTCTTTACTACTCTGAATCTTGAACGACAAAACCGGACCGATGATTCCCTAGTTCTGGAAGAAGAAACGTGCCCGTCTTCGTTACCGCTACGCGCTGTATCAAGAGACGCCAAAGAGCGATAGTATCGTGTACGTAATGTAGTAGTATATTGTACGAACTTTGGAGAGTGAGTTCTGGCTATCTATCTAAATGAGTGTATAAATAGGTAGGGTAGCCTAGCTAGCCCTGCATATCCCCCCCTTCTCTTTGAATCCTTCCCCCATTTAAAGGTTGGCGGATACTCCCGATCCTAACACCACTTGCTGGCCTACCCGTCGGAGACTTGAAGTGGAAGCTTTGAGTTAGTACAGGAAAAATTTTTGCCTTCGGGCATTTGGTCAATTTGAAACGATACAGAGAAGATTAGCATGGTGAGCCCCACTATTCAATAATAGACCTTCACTATGCAGAATTTATATACTAATTGATCGCAGGCCCCTGCACTAAGGGTGACATTTTCGAAGGAACACTCTATAAGTTGCTGGGTTTATCATACATCACTGTCTACAACTCCCGGAGCCGGCCCTAACGGAATCCTTCATGGTGGGCTATATCGTAGTTGACATATTCTACCCCGTTTATGGCGTCGAGAAAATCTATCTACACTATCAGTTTCATTTGCAAGCTAGCTGTTTTCATACTGAGGGAACATGCAACCCAAATAATCAGTCTTAAATTACGTTTCCGTTAAGTAAACCATTTTGGATATAGACAAGGTAAAAGTCATCGAAGGCACGTTTCCTTGGAGTCTTGGAAACTACCAACTGACTATTCGTAGCCTTAATGAGCCCGAAATATATTCTTTCTCGAGGTGTAAAATGGATAAGCCGAGATTGTAAGTATATAATAGGTACAGTGGAAGCGTAGCGAGATAGCCACGAACATCCGGCTTTGTATAGCGATGGGTGGCCTCCGGTATAAAAAATAGCAAATTCCAAGCGACCGCGGTCGTGGAACTATTCTAAAATAGAACGAAGAGTCCTACCCAAACATATGGCGTCAGCTTCGGCTTTATCATCTAACTTAAGATAAGACATCCTCCCTTGACAGATTCGTATAAAGACGACCGCACTGGCGGTCGAAAGCTACGTATAATTTATATACGTTTTTCGCAAAATCTTTAGGCGTCCGAGACTTGGAGGCAGAGCTTATTTCTTGTCTCCTATATTCTTCATTAACTTACCTCGTTTCGTGCTTCCCCTAATCCGGGAGATGATAAGCTAACTATTACCTGTTTCAAGTTTTATGTATATTTTGTATAACTTCGGATTGTTACCCTTATAGGGATTCTCGGTCTTGAAGTTGGCTGCCTTCAACGCTCATTCTCATGAGGATGTGCTTTTCAAAATATTATTATGATTGCTGAAATTTTTGTATCTAGATCGGTCGGTAGATAATAATTGCATACATATATATAATGCCTAATAGTAACTTCCGAATACTATAGTAGTCAATATCGTTCGTATTCATGCGTAGTAGGTACCTAGGTAATTAGTTCGCAGAGTTCACAACAGCAACATGAGTTGGAGCATATGTCATGATCTTGTTGTCAGGACTCTAGATGAGACATCTAGAATAAAGGACATGTTTATATAAGAGCCGTAGGCTCGTCAGACAGGTTAGAGTTCCTCGCGGAACAACGAAGTTGTTCCCTTACTTCTCGCTCCACCTCGTGGCATGTAGGTAGGGAGAATGTGGTGATGAAATAAAAAGCGGACTTGTTGAATAAATCATGTATTGATTGACTAATAATCTAAGAGATATTACTTGTGCTGTCTACGTAAACTCGACGACCGCACCCTAAAGGGTGCTGCGCTTTAATTAAGGATTGGCCCTGTAATTCGGGATTGATCCGAAATACTTCCGAATGGGAGGGCTTCCCATAGATTCCAAAAGTATTTTCAAACTTCCATCCATTTTCGTAATATTTCGTGATATTATGAAAATATTGTTTCCTTTTCAGGATTTAATGAAGGTGGGAATAGCCTCTTATTCGCCCTAATCCTTGTACGCTATCCCCATTTACAGGGCTAATCCTTAATTAAAGCGCAGCACCCGAAGGGGGCGGTCGTCGAATGTATGAAGACAGCACAAGTATTATTTTTTTTTTACAAACACTCAAGATGAATCTGAATGCCTGAATGACACGTGACGATCAGTCACGTGTTGAGATGTACCTTGGTACATCTCACAGGACTCTTGTCAAATCGAGGAAGGAGGTGCTAAAAGAAAGTTACGCTAAGGTGTTTTCTACTGAACTCGAACGCCCTTTCTTCTGGATTGGCGCCCCCACAATTTTAAGTTTTTCCCTCGGGTACTCCTTCGGAAAGAACCTTAGATGTCCAAAAAAAATTTTGAAGCTCACTTTGATTAAGCGTGTCATCCTTAGTGCAGGGGCCTGCGAACAATTAGTATATAAATTCTGCATAGTGAAGGTCTATTATTGAATAGTGGGGCTCACCATGCTAATCTTCTCTGTATCGTTTCAAATTGACCAAATGCCCGAAGGCGGAAGTTGCCTCGCTCTTTCCGTATATAAATTCGGAAAGTACGCATTGCACCCGAAATTTGCCCGGTCACGCCTTCCTTCTAGTAATTTATTATTACGTAATCTTGTCGTTATCTTATCGAAACTAACTTCTATGATCAGTTAGCATGGCCCCTGCACTAAAGATGACACGCTTAATCAAAGTGAGCTTCAAAATTTTTTTAGGCCCGCGCTCGCAAGCTCGCGCGGGGCGTTTCCAAGTGCTCGCAAGCTCGCACGTGAAGCTTTATAAAGTCATGTGCGCGTCTTATCAATTTTCCAGCTATTTTTACGTAATCCTATCTAAATTCCTTATTAATGACCTTATCAATTTCCAGAGTTTAGGCGCAATATTCTTTCAGAAAGATTAAACTTTAAAATCTTTAAAAAAGGTACTTGCCAGACTCGCTTTAGGTAGGTACCTAGGTAGTAACTGCTTAAAAAGTCATCTCTATATTGTTGGGTAATCACCCGTGTGCCAATCAGCTGGCAGCTATTCAGTACGCACCTGTCATAACGTACCGGGCTAAACTACCTACATAAGGCTAAATGCCAAGGCCATGCTTTCTACATACATACTATGCAGTCAACTTCATCCTCTAAACCGCGGTTTTTTACCTGGTCGCATTCTACCATCATCATACCTAAAACCCCTTGGCTAGGTCTTTCAAGTCAAATTTAACAAATACAAGTCGAAACTACAGTAGGTTGTCTTTTTATCTTATCTGTTGTGATCCGTGTCTTCTATGGTCTGTGCACGCGCCTCTATTTTGATTTCATCTGATTTGTGGGGAAAGAACCTAGGGCAAAGCTCTGATTGGCAAAATTCTCTCACCGCCCGACAGGCAGAAAAGGCCGTCCCGCATATCCATTTGCACAATTTGCACAACTCTTCCCACAAAATTTTATTCAACTTTCTCCGCAACTTTCTCTCACAATTAACCACACTTTACACTACCCGCAACCTCTCCCCTTGCGAAACCTTACGAAACATATTCGTTTATTATATGTGCTTGCCGGCGCGAATATTATACTTCGCGTTATCAAGTAGTTAACTTAACGCTAACATTATTAATAACCAAGCCTATTAATCTTTTTATACCTACTTAATGTGAGTTTGTTTAATCATTTATTTTATCTCTTTTGTTTATCTCTCTTGCATTGTGCATAATTTAAACTGACATTCTTTTGTTAGTAACTACCTACTTATAACTACCTTAAAGTTATCAAGGTCTTGTGGCCTTCAACCGATCGCCTCGAGTAAGTACATCATTATTATTGCATACCGCATACGTGAGATCATATGTAATTAACGATGCTTTTCTAGTCATGCCTCCCCGCAAGGCGGGCACTAAGGCCTCCGGCAACCCTAGCGCCAAAGCTGGAGGTTCCGCCCCTAAGGGACGACTCGATCGTAGACCTTGTGTCTTGTGGGCCCCCCAGACTAAGGCATTCTGCGGCGGTGGCAGTATGCTTGATGACCTTGAGGGTCACTACAAGTCGTGGTTTGTATGGAACGCCATCCAAGAATCCCCTCCTTACGTCGGCTTCACCATTCATTTCCCCCGTCGTGTGGATGGTGTATATCAGTATTATGCACGAGGTGCTGATAGGCCGTCCGACGTTCACAATATCTTTTTCGGCGCCCATCCGGGAAAAGTAGAGCTTACCTTCGCGGAAATCGCGCCCGATTCGGACGCCCTTCCCGAACAGCTCCGAGGTAAGGTGGATCAACCTTGGCTCAGCATAACCATGACCCTTCACGACGACGCTGAGTTGATTTGTGAAGGCTGGCCCTGGCCTTTCGAGGGCCGCGACCAGGCTGCCGACGCCGCTTTCCACCGCCACGGACGCGTTGATGGCGCGCCCATCACCCTCTCGCAAATGCAGCAATTGCGGACCTGGTCCTTCCTCATGAAAGCAGCCGGAAATCAGAGATATATCAGCGCAGCTCGTGACTCCGTCGTGGGCTTCGAATTCTCCTATCCATTTGGAAACCAGTAAGTGGCTAATCAATATTTTACCTTATGCTTGATGCTAATGTTTCTGTCTTAATCTAGGTTTCATTGGGATATGAAACGGTACCTACAGACCATCCCCAACTTCCGGGCAGAGAAGCAATTAAAGAAGGTATATGTTCATGCCTCTTTGAACAATGCGCTTACCTGCTTTACCCAAAGCGTCGTTCAAGATGCTTTCCCCTTGCTTCAGGATGCAAACCAGATTTGTGGTATGGAAGTACAGGCTGGCTTCATGATCCCCCAGAACCCGTCTTTCTCATATGAAGCTGGTGGTGATACTGAGTCGGAGGTGATCGAGGAGTACGAAGTGGTTGCTGAGTTAACTCCCGAAATCCTTGTGAGTCTATAATACCATTTCTACCGTAACTAACATTCGAGCTAACGATGATTCATAGGCATTCAGAGACGCCTTGCGCATCCTGACAAAGCCCGGTTGCCCCTTGAAGATCTTCTTTCAGCCGCCCCAATTTATCGATGGCGAGGTCATTGAAAACGAAAACTTCTGGGAGGGTACCATAAGGGGATTGGACACAAACGGCTTCCTCAGGTTCCGTGCGTGCCGTCCTAGAGATCCCGAGAGCCCACAATACAGGACACATGAACAGGCTATAAAGGTCGTGGAGAAATCCAAGATCTCAGATCAGAATGACCGGGTCAACTAGGAGAAGATCTGGGTGCTTTTTGATCCATCGCTGTCTGTGGCAAAACTGCGAGTTAATGCAGCCAATAATTTGGCTAAACGCGGATCTTTAAACGCAATTTTAAAGCATTTCAACAAAATGCTTAAAATGCCTAAAGAGGACCAAATGCCTGAAAAAGACCAAGTGCCTGAAAAAGACCAAGTGCCTGAAAAAGACCAAGTGCCTGAAAAAGACAAAGTGCCTGAAGAGGACCAAATGCTTGAAGAGGACGAAGAGCCCGAAGAGCAGACTAATAGGTCCGACAAGATGGACAAGTTGCTTCGCCGACGCCTCCAAGGCGAGATCCTTCAAGGGGCCTCTCTGACCTCACTCTTGCCGGGCTTTTCGTACGCCGCGGAAAGCCCGGGTCCATCTAGCTGGGATGAACTTCTCGCGCGCCCTGACCCCCAGCAGGATTCCGAGTATGGCTCCTACCTACCCGGATTCTCCCTCCAGCCTCGCGGTCATTGTGGCCAAGGCATCGAGGCGGACGTGTCGAAGCCAAGCTTTAAAGACAAGCAACTTTCTCCTGCATTCAATGCCGTGGGTGCCTTTTATAAAGAGAAATGGAAGAATCCAAATCTCGTGGATATCATTCTTAGACCTATCGGAAAGGATCTGCCCAAGTTCAAGGAGCTCCTTTCTAACGTCCCCTTGAGCGTGCTGCCCATCCTTGGTTTCCCGGGGTCTGGCAAGACGAACATGCTTGCTACGATTTTAAACATGTGTTTGCAGGACCCGGAACACGACAGAATCATGGCGTGTGCTCCGACCCATGTTGCCGTTAGCAGCCTCGTCGAGCGTATAGTACGGCTGAATAAAGAGGCAGTCGACCACTACAACAAAAATTACCGAGGTTCTCAGTGTTCATATGCAATCATTGTCCATGTCACCAACGTGGATGTGAATATTGCAGCATTTATAAACATGGTCCGATCTGGTCGTAATGATACCTCTGTTTGGGAACCCTTGAAATCGGGCACTATACGCCGATGGTTCCACGAAAACTCGCTGTGCGAGTGGGCGTTGAAGGTAGTCTGCTATAAGGGCTGGGGTCTCGAACGTAACGATGACTCGGCCCTCTATGCAATCCGCTCGCGTCTCGAGGAGGATGATAAGTGGACCATGTTTCTGTCTTGGGTTGACGGAGAGACGAAATGGGATGCGCTAATGAAGGACTCGAACGAGAAGATGGCGGCTTGGGAGCGAGAGTTCGGAGAGGAGCCTGAGGCCACCCAACCCCCTAAGCCGCTATCGCCGAGGGGATTTGTGAGGAAATTGATGGAGGAGATCTGCCTTGCATCACACGTAGTCGCCTCTACAACCCATGGAAGCAAGGACAATCCCGTGGCGAAATTCAACCGCGACATAGCCAAGATGACTGCATTGGACGAGGCTGGCTGCATGGGCATTGCCGAAGCGTGCGTCCCCTGGATTGATGGCCGACCTGTCGTGATGGCGGGAGATCCACGACAACTCCCTCCTACGGCCATGACTGCATTATGGCGCGTGGACGGAAAGTATGCGAACATGTTCGCACAGATGGGCAAGATTTCTGTTCTGGAGCAACTCAAATTGATATGTTGGCCGTGCTTTGTCATCAACCGTCAGCGTCGTATGGTTATCGGTGGATTTGATTTAGTCTACGAGTTGTTTTACAAGGATGTTTTCGATTTCTCCTACGACGAGGACCTCTGCGCTAGCTCCAATCACACAATTGCTATCATGGTGGAGAATTGGCTTGCGAAGTTTGGTCTCAAAGCAAACTACGAGAAGTTCTGGCCTGTGTTCTTTCACTGTGAGAACACTTCTTGCTATGTTGACGAGTCCGGATCGGCATTCAATCCCGGACAAGCAGCACACGCTCGAAAACTAATCTCCGACGCTATAACAGCCAAGATCACTACTGCAAAAAACTTTGTTGTTATTGTTCCATATAACGCCATGAAGAAGTATATGCAGGAGCAATGGAAGTCGGACCCATTGCTCTCAACTATCCCCATCAGTACCACAGATTCTTTTCAGGGCAACGAGAGTAATATTGCAGTCTTCATTATGACTCGCACGAGCAACCCGGGATTTCTTAAGGATGCACAGCGGCAATGTGTAGCTTTTACCCGACACAGAGATGTTCTTTGGGTTGTTGGTGACAAAGACGTCTGTGGTAGCTTGGATGCCCCCTATGAATCTGTCAGGCCGAAGGTAAAAGGTACCGAGTATGCTGAAGATGGAGCGGAAGCTGTGTACACGAGCAAAGCACTTCGACTAGCGTTGGAGTGGTTCCGTGACCGTGATCGCATAGTACACCTGACGCCTAGAGAGATAGTCACAACTACACATGAGGAGATGATGATAACGATGTAGGGGTAGATGGTGGTAATGGGGTCGGAGTCATGAATTTACTTATGACGATGATACGCATTGGTGAGATGGTGGTGTGGAATGGATGACAATGCTCAAAACTACCTCTTAATTAGTGAGCAATTAGAAAACACTTATGCTTCTCGCTCGATTATTCCCGCTTAATTGAAACTTTACTCTCATAATAAACGCCTCATGAACGATATTCATAGCATAAGTGCTTAATACCACTCAAAACATAGGTATTTATGGAGAGTACGGAGGGTATGGAGGTCATTATTGTGCCTCATTCTGAGCATAGATAAAATTCGCGGCTACGCTCTCGTTAGTATCGAAAGTGCCATGAGGATGATATATTGTCGCGTTATTCAAATACCTACCGACAGGTTTAAGGCCATTCTCCTTTGCCCAATCCCTCACGCCATGTCTTGCTTTACCCGTGCCCCAATGCTTTCTGTCCTCCGGCTTGGTCAGGTGAAGCGGGTCCGTAGTACCGTTCGCGGGAGCTAATAGCAGGAACACGTATCTATGCTTTCCAGTCTTGGGTGGCGGGCCAGGCGGCTTGTACGGTATAATGTCCTTTAAGCTAGATAAACGGAGAGCAGCGGGCTCCGATGATGAGATATCCACCCCCGTGGCGATGAAGTGGCAGAATTCGGACCACTCCGGGTTATCGCGAGATGGAGCGTCCGGATCAGTAATGATGATTGTGTAGGTCACGCTGGAACGCTGCTCAGCCGACAACAATGAAGAGTGGCTCTGACGTACTGTGATGGTGGGTTCGTCTTGAACGTCGTCCACCTTCACGGTATTCCCTAGCTCCGTACGCTCTCCTGACGGCCATTCCGCGTCGAGGAGAAAGGAGGGGAGGAATTTGTCAACGACTATCATTGGTTAGCCATATATTAGATCTGTAAGTAGAGACTTACCTGTTGGAAAGATTTCTGCCTTTTTCAACCTGATATTGGCTCTGTTAGTTGGGTCCTACGTTGGCTGTTATTGGTATGCTGAGATGCACGTACTCATGCTGGACCTCGTATACGTCTGAATCTAGCCGATGCTGCTCAGATGGAGCAATGATGATCTGCTCGATAGGTTGGTGTTTACCGGTCACAGGTAAAGCTTCTAATAAGAAAAGGAGTATGCATGTGGGTAAATAGATCAACATGTTCTCAGGTTTCAGTCTTTGGTTTTTATTTATTTCATTGGTAATAAACTTATTAGAGTTCCGGGTTTCGAAGATATCCTCCAAGGCTTTTAATATTGAAAATGATGTTGCTCCGCCCCCGCATTATATTGTCGTGATGTCACTTAACCTACTAGGTACCTAGGTATAAAGTGGCAACCCTTATAATTACTGTTAGGATTGCTATTAATTTGATTTTTGAAGCCTTTGGAACGATTAGAAATTATCATTTAGATCTAGCACCTGCAAAAGACTACGGTGTTTATGTCTAAACCATCATCGGCGGAGATAGTAGTTAGTGAAGGCTGGAGGGTCTCTAATGAGAGTTGATGTTGTTTCACGGGATGGTTAAACAGTATTCTAGGATATAATAGGTGATTATACGGTATATGATATAGATAAGTATACACTACGGATATAAAAGTCTTCTTATAATCTGCAAGTCAAATCATGACTTGGGCTTGAGCGTCTCATGCCTCTCTAGCATTCATTCATTCGTTACCTGCATATGCATGTATAGTATGAGATAGGTACGTACCTAATATACATCTAGACTCTGTGGCTTGGCCCCACGGTCTCCTCTTTTTAGGTGGGCTGCGGCGCGTAAGTGAGATCCACATGCTATTCTGCTTGCAGGTAAGTATCAATTCTGGGTGTACATTTGCGTCGCGTAAAATAGGCCTGAAGTGCAAACTCCCAAATCGCGCCTAGAAATTTATTCCCCAAAGTTACATACCTACCACAGCTATGTACATATAATCAACTTCACCTCACGTCACTCTATTAATTGCCGAATGTAGCTGTGCGCTTTTCTAAATGTCAACAATACCCACGACGTATCCTGCCCAACTTATTTTAGGTACTGACCATAATCAAACTCTACTTCTCTCGTCGCTATGAAATATCTCATTCTATCTGTACCTACCCATCTTTAACTTCCCTTAACCCTAATTCTATCTGCCCTCCTCTCGCCTGCCGACGACACTGACCACACCGACCAACTCCCACTTTATTTCTAAGCCCGCTTAAACCTCCCTTGAATCCCCTGCGCATTTGTTAACCGCATATATTTCGGTCATCAAAAACTGCGGTGCACTCGTCGTCATGGTTTCATCAAGGAAGCGCGCCTTGCGCGATACCGAACCGGAAGCTGAGGCGCGAGGGCCTCCCAAGGAGTCTCCCAAGGAGCCATCTTTACTTCATCGCATCAGAAATACTTGGCAATTTGCCAACCTGTTCCAATGGATATACTTGTTTGGCAAAGTCGTGAAGATAGACGATAATCTAGAGATAGATGTACGTGCTCTTTGTCACTCTTAACTTCAGCTAATAGTCCCTGTCGAGATCTTTAATATCGATCCGTAGCGCTAACACTGTGTTGTGGTAGGATCTGGAAGCCGAGTTCCTAAAACCCCGTTCGACTGTTCTAATTAACATTGGCCTCGCCTTGCTCAAGTTTGTATCGTCGCATCGCGGCTTAACGTATGTCTCATCGCAGTACACATTTCCAAAAAGTTATATTGTTGACTCATCTTTAAGACCGGACCTCTTCGACGAATATACGCGGCGGCAATACGTTGCTAAGGCCCCCGATCGAAATCCGTTTGGTACCGCGGACACGCCCGCCAAGTTCGACGACTTCGACGCTTTCACAAAGGTTTGTCGGTCGCATAGTAGACAATCGTACAATACTAAATATTTCGACTGTAGATCAAAATATTGCAGCAGCTTACTCAATGGGTGATGTTGCATCCCGAAAGAATTCGAGAAAAGATGGATGAGCAGAAGCCAAGCGATCAAACAGAATGGGTACGAAGATCTCTCCCGAGATTTGACAAAGAAGCGCTAATATTATATCAGAGAATCGAACCCTCTGGATGGGATAGTGACGATCGCATTTACTATATCCTAGACGATAACCGAATATACCGCATGACAGAAGCCCCGCCGACCCCTGCGCCCTGGAAACCCAAGAAAAATACCAAAAAGGCCAAAGCAGCAGCAAGAGCTGCCAAACGCCGACGCGTATCAAGATCCGCAGCGCAAAACGGTGGCGATGATGATGACGGCTCTGCTTCCGACGTGGATCAACCTGCTGAACCGGAGGATGACGGTCTGGGGGGTGCGAAGTGGGAGTGCATTGCAGCGAGCCTCACAGAAGTACAAGAATTCCTTAATACCATTCGAAAGACCCGTGACGACAATGAAAAGGTCCTAAAGAGTACTATCGAAAACCACCTTTTACCTATTCTAGAGAAGCAAGAGGAATCTCGAAAGCGCAAAGCCTTACAGAGGGAGAAGGAGCTTCTCAATCTCGAAAAGATGGCACATGCCAAGCGTTCGAGCCGCCTTGCTAATAAGGCCGAACAACAACGTTTGGAGCAGCAGATTAAAGAAGAGGAACAGAAACGCCGAGCGGAAGAGGTGACGGCTCGAAAAGAGCAACAAAAACGTATAAAAATGGAGAAAGAACGCGACAACCGCATGATGTCTCGGGAGCAACGACTTCGAGAACGGGAGGTCCGCCGGCGACAGCACGAAGAAGAATTAGCCCAGCTGTCTGAGGATAGTAGAAACCTCAGCGCTGGGACCGGTCGTTTATCGGAGAGGCGGTTGAAAGCGGAAATCGAGAAGAACAGGCAAGCCCTGCAAGAGCTTGAGGAGGAAGAAGATGACTGGATTTTTGACTGTGTCTGTGGCGTCTACGGCCAGGTTGATGATGGAACACACAGTATTGCATGCGAGAGATGCAACGTCTGGCTGCATAGCAAATGCGTTGGCATTAGCGAAGAAGAAGCCGATCGCGATGATTTTCATTTTATCTGCAAGAGTTGCCGCCGAAAGAGTTCAACGCCAAAGTCCGCTACGGTCATCAAATTAAAGGTTAATCGACAGGATGCTTCATCTTCACCTCCTATCACAAAGTCGGACGGCTCGCCTACTCCAGACCGTGCTCGACTCACCCAAGGCTCTGGCATTGCGGTCGAGATACCGGCGAGACTTACTAGTACGCAGCTCACTACTCAGCCGTTGATCCCCGTAAAGCAGGCAGGTCAACCTAACGCCCCTCCTCCATCTTCACCCTTCACTAATGGTGATGGGCTTCATCCATTCTCTTCGCCGCACCCAAATTTATCACCTCCAGAGCAGTCGCCCAACAAAGCAAGGGCCTACTCAACCATGTTCAATGCGTCGCCAACCTCTGGAAGTCGTTCCGGAGATGTCCGGGCGCCGCAAAAGGGTGTATTCCGCGTGTCACCAAAAGCTAACGGCGTACCTCAATCCGCACAGTCGAGTAACCTCCCGCCTAATGCGGACACCTCTATACCTCCCGTGGCCGCCAGAGCTGATTCGCCTTTGAAGCAGCCTTTTGATGCCGCAAGCAGTAGTCTTCCAGTTCTTTCGCCACCATCTGTATCATTTCCCGCTTTAGCACGCCCTTCGAGCAGTGACACCAATGCTCAACAGGCAATACTGTCTACTCCACAGCTTAAGAAGTTTGACCAAGCAGGAGCACGGCTTGACGCAACGCCTAGTCTGCCGCCGATCCAAAATGGGATCTCGCCGCTAAAACGCTCGCCGCCTCCACACCAGCAATCGGGCAACGGCCTATTTTCGACACCAGCATCTTCGATTCTTCCCCCAGTGACGGCTCTGTCCCCTTCACCTTCACAGCAAATACTGACGCCTCCTGTCAAACCTTCCGACCCTATACGGCCGGCATCACAGACGCCAGGTGGTATCACTAGGGATGAATAGTCAGAAACGTCTTGGGATGATGGCTTAGTTGGCCCGCCAACTAGGCTGTTACAGGCCACCAAGAGTAGACCCATCTGTCATGTAGTCTAGAGACTGGTCATATTTTCAGCACAGTCTTTTCGGCACCGCGAGTTCGACCGCGTCCTAGTTGAGATAGGATACAGGTTTCATATGCGCCCAATTCTAGCATTGATATTAGGCAGCTTTCTTTAGCATACGGATGCAAAGGTGGATAAGCTTAGGCGTTCTAGTAACGTCGATCTCTTCCCCGTGGAATGGGAAAGGGATGCGTCTGCAAACTCGTTAGAAGCATGCAGGAGTAGGGGTTTCTGATTGGTTTAGACGGATAATGCATTTTAAGGCGCAGAAGACAGGTAAACCAAGCCTGAAATGTAAACTAGAAGGGAAACGTTATAATACGTTGTTTTTGCATGCATTAACGCATAAGTAGTGCTGAGCCTGGTAGTTTTCTAAGGTTATAGCGCAACATTCAGGAGAATACAAGATATTATGAGGGACCCATTTTAAAGATTCTCAGCAAGTACCTACAATTAGGTACATAAGGTAGTCGGCAGCAGCCGTGTGAGGTACATGTACCCGCCTACATGCATGTACTAAGGTTGGGTCGCGACGCCTTACCGCTCATTGGAAGTCTCCTTCCCTACGGTAATTACTTTTTAGCAATTACTTTTTAGGGGTCGATACTTTTCTAAATCGTCGTGCTAATGAAAACAAGAACACGAATTCATCACTTTTCATCTCAGTTGGCATCATGTACCTAAGGTAAACGAACTGTTCAGCGTATTCCGTACCAATAACAGATATATCGCTTGCACTTTAAGTGTATCATTCTATTTCGTCTCCCCATCTACTTCTTACTTGTCATCTTCTATCGTGGTATTTCTCATCTTAATGTCTAAAGCAAAGCTCTCCCAGTGGTAGACAGCTACACCGACTCCACGTTTCTCTCCTCGGTAAGCTGCAGATTGCATACATAAATGCACAGCAGTTCGCAGCTCGAGCGGGTCTAAGCATCCTACTAGACAGGGCATATTTCCTAGAGCCTAGGATAAGCTGGCCGGTCCTGCATCTGTCAAGAGATTTATTGGAAAGCCCAACCTAATCAACCCCAGACTTCTGGTAGCTATTATTGGGTAATGCGTCATGCCGTCGAAGTTGAGCTGTCACACAAGTCCCGAATGTTCGCACGAACTGTTGGCCAGAGCGCTGAGACAGAATAAGAGCAGACTGGTGCGTGCGGAAACGCTATTAGCAACGCAAAAGCAAGTTGGATGGTGCGCACTTGCTTGTATGCTTCTAAGTGCCATTACCTACCTAAAGTCAAGCAAGCAAGCGAACGAACAACGCAAGACGAAGGAGTCATACACGCTTGATAACCAGCATTACTAATATCTGATTAAATATTATTGTATGGAGATGTTGAAGGTGAGGGGACAGCTCAACTAGGTTCTTTCTAATGGTTTCATTGTTATAGCTCTACACATCCGGGTTATGAGCAAGACAGTACATAGCAAGGGAGAAAAAAAAGAGACCCGAGAAGAGCTAACTGCGTGATGACCTCAAAGACAGACCCCGAGTCCAAAAAAGACGAAAGAAAAGAAGAGAATACAAGCCGGTCTTTCAACCAAGTGGCCAGCTAGTATATATGTATGGGCGCATACGCGATGCTGCACGTTAGCATCCTTCCACTATGATGCCCATCCATTTCTTACATACCTCTCTTCGAAGGAAGATGATGATTAAGCCTCCTTAAGCCATGGTATTTTTTTTTCCCTCAATATTCTCTCAATACGACTAGAACTACCGATACTGCTTTTACTAAACTAATTTACCTTCTTATTCATCAACATAAATGTACGTCAATTTTTAGTTGTTGGGCTTTCCCCCTTTTAGCACTTCTAGGACCGAGGTTCAAACAGTCTGCGGAGCTAGTGCAAATACCCGTCGCACGGTACAGGGATGCGGCTGCAAACAAATGCCCAGGCACGATCTGATCTGCCAGTCATACATGCTCGTCACTAGGAAAGGCAGCACTAACAGCCGATGAATACTGCAGTTAACGTCCATATTGCAGATAAACGGGACTAATCAACAGCCAGTAGGACCCTCTTGCTTGGCTACGGAGCTGATGCCGAGATTAACCCACCCCCAGGATAAAGGGGTTGGCCTATAGAGCTATGAAGACACTACATGTTGAGAGCTCGGAGATGGTCTCTTCACTCTGCTACCTCTCTGGTGTAGTTACTAAGGCCTATTTAGCGGTTAGTAGCAACGCGTCATGGCCGTCTTGGCCGGCCGCTTGTACGCTGCGATCCGGCTAGGCAAAAGAGGGTACGGTGAAGAGGGGAAGAAAGAATCCAGTGCCAGTCTGTCTGCATTGGGCTAATCTTCTCAGCAAATTCTCAAAGGAATGTTGGGGTATGCGCGCCACTGGAGAATTTAGCTGTGGGAGACACGTTTTCGGGACTTATACAGGAACCAACATTCCAGTCCCTCACATCGACCAGGAGTAGCTACGACGGTACCCAGTGATGGCAAACCTTCAGAAATCAATGTCAAAGCACTACCAAAAGCAACTCGTAGTGGGCAACTGGATGATAATTCCCCCCTAGTCGTATTGAGGATGTGGCAAAAAAAAAAAAAAAGCTGGGTTGCTCGGGGATCAAGTTCATTCAGCTCCCCGGTCCCTTATGCAGCATATCTCATGCAATCTTGCATGTAGTCTATCAGCCCAGGATCTGCGGCCATTAGTATCATGTGGGTACAATACGCTATCCTTTTATTTTATTTTATTTTTTTGTACATGTCTTACCCTAGCGGGCAATAGTTAAGTGGGAGTCCATCGCTATCGGCGTTAGCAGGTGTAAGAGCATATGTGAAAGCGAGAAAGGGAGAGAGAACTAGGTATAGGCTACATTTCATCTACGTTAGGAAGCACAGCACTAACGATACCAGTTACGCTCTCTCTCGCTCTCTACCGGCCCGGAATGTTCGGTGCCTAGCATAAGTACAGTTCCTAGATTCTCTCCCTTTTGCCCCCGAACACGGCTAGGGCTACCATAGCTCCATAAGTGATCTAAAGTAATTTTCTAGGCCAGCACATGTTGTATAGTTGTACAATGCCTCGCATTTTTCCCTCTTGCGTTCCGAAAGCGGTAATGTGCAACCTTGCGGCCGCATTCTACCTCCCGAAGAAAGCCGCCATACAAATACTATAGCCCCAGGAATACTACTTTGAAAGGGAAGTTTAGAAAGATGTTTCTTTTTGTTGTTGCTTGTTACCTATCGCTGCTTTTCGTCGTTCGTGCTGGGTCAACAAAGGCGGCATCTAGCAGTAGTTCTCTATCTGGTCCTTTCCACTTATCCATCTATACATGCAGTTTATTGTCGTGCTATACAACTTGTTGGGTTGATAGGGATAGGGAAGGATGCTTATACAGTTGGCCGGCAATAATCGATAACTTTACATGGTCGATATTCAGATCAATTTCCACGCGCTCCATCAATTTATCTGGCTCAAGGAACCGGGATCCATTTCAAGAGAACAGTCACATCGATAGCCAAATTGCCAGCCTTACGGAGATACTAGTTCCTCTCCTGCTACTTCTGCGGCACGTGGGTAGCTGAAATTCCTTTGGCGAGGGAGTGGAAACAAAGAAATAAAGGAAGCTCGTGCGGACCATAGGCCGGGGAGGCTGCATCAATCAGTAACTCGTTGTGCCTACCTATTGCACTGTACCCACTAAGAAAGGGGTGTGAACTCATCAATCAATCACATACTTCACCCCTCGGAGAGAGAAGCCTTACACATATCTCTCTATCCCAAGACTCTGGTTCAGCTTCTGCCATCGGCTCTCCAGATTTAACAACGAGACAAAGTGAGGAAGCACCCACATATAAGCGATAGCGAGAGAAAAGAGAAACCTCGTCGCGGCGCTGCTAAAGCAAGGATATTACAGACAGCTCAACATCCCATCAGGCAGATATCATGCAATAGGTACGTCCTTCTGGGTCTCTACGCTTCGTCTTTCTCCTCTCTCCTGCTCACATGACCGAATGCGGCTGCATGCCCTCTTCCCTTGCAGTGTCACGGCCAGAGACAAACCTGGTTTCTGATAGATCTATGCCTGCGGCTGCAGGCTACACTATCAAGAAACGTATCCTATGTTGTCTGGACGCGCACATTGCTTCTCCAGTTGCAGAAAGATACAGCTTGATGGCATATATGTGGCGAAGCAGGAAGGCAATGCAGGCCACTAGAATTGAAGACTTACTCACCTATTCACAGACCGAGAAAGTCCAAATGAAAGCACCGGCATCTCTGTAGTTGGAACAACCTCAAAAGTGGTAACCCGAACCGGTTGCCCGTTACATATTCGATATTCTTCCAGGATATCTGAATCAATAAGATACTGATTTCTGCTTTGAGACGTCTTCTTCCTTGCCTCCTTGCCTTCTTGCTGTATATGTCTCTCTCGACTTTACTCACTATTTGATCTCACCCGCGGCCTTATCGCGTCCACTACGCTCTGGGTTATTAATATCAGAGACATATCTGAATAGACAAGTTAGAGACTGGCAGCCAATCTACGTCACGGTAAAGCTGGTGGAGACCATACACAAGCACGGAGACGCTGTGTACTAGTCCCTCCTTGTACCTACATTCATCTTATCGGTCTTCCTAGTTGGCAACTCATATCCGAAGATATTCGCCACCATCAGTACTTCATCTAGGTTGACGGACTTGGGTATTGGTAGATGAACGTAATATCCATTACTCACCAATCTTTTATCTGATAATAGTCAAGCAAGAGTCTGGCCGGTTGCTGGTTGTTGGTTAAGAGGAAGGAACGAAACAGAACAGGCAACTAGTTGACGAGAAGACGCCCTCTAGTTTCCCTTACACGTGGGCGTACGCTGTCTCTATCCTTGCTCAGGGGAAATCCCGCGGCTCTTTGAAAGTGGCCTCCTTATTTATCTTCAATCTTTACGGTTATCCATCTTTCTTCAATATTTACTACAGTTTCTCACTGTCCCCCCTAAAGATCGATTTCAACGACCTACTCCCGCTTGTCGCATAATAGTGTAGTACGAAATAACCTATGACATGGAGAAAGCCGGTCCGTCATCACCAGCACCCTCAAACAGTAACAACCCCCCTTCCTCTACAACCGCCGACGACGTCCTCCAAAACCAATTCCAACAGCTTATACAGCATAATGCGACCGTGTCGTCGGTCCAGGTGCACGGCCAGATAAATTCAAAACCGCCCTCCCGATATTCAAGTCCGGCTCCGGCTTCGGCTCCGGCGCCGCAGCAGCAGCAGCAGATGGCCATGCCCATATACGACCACGTCACTACATATAGTAGCGGATATCAACAGCAAAATTATCAGATGGAGCCAAGCCCGTATCCTCAATTGCCCGATACAGGCTCGTCGTTGGTATGTTATTATTAGAAATAAAGGACATTGATCAACTTCAATAGACGAACAATCAACTTGATTTCCTTTTGTTCTTTATTGTTATATTCTCTACTGAGATCAATCTTTACTAATGTTTTCTTATAAAAGACACCCCACAATGCTTATAGCACTCCCGCAACCTCACCACCAACCCCTTTACAAACAGACAGCATTAGAACAAGAAGCGGACGAGCTATAAACCGGACGCGCGAAGGGACACCGATGATGAATTCTCGAGGTCTCAAGAGGCAATCCCCAATGTCAGGGGGAGAAAGCATAGGCGCAGGCGCCAAGAAGAAGAAGAAGACTAAGGGGCGATCAGATGAGCCGTCAGTAGAACTGGACGCGCCGCTAAGTGTCTTAGTAAAAGATATTACGACAGTGCAGGACACCAATATCGAGGACTACGTAAACCGAGGCGCGGAGGTGCGGCAAAGGGAAGTAAGAGAGTCGAAAGATGGCAAGGTGAAGCGGCCGATGAACGCATTTATGCTTTATCGAAAGTCTTACCAAAATCGAGCCAAGGAATGGAGAAAACACGACAACCACCAGGTCATCTCACGGATCTGCGGTGCAAGCTGGGCTATAGAGCCACCGTCTCTGAAAGAGCAATTCGACACATATTCCAAGATTGAACGGACAAATCACGGCATTGCTTTCCCTGATTATAAGTTCGCGCCAGCTAAGGCTAAGAACAGGAAGACCAGTAGTAGAAGCACCACTGTCCATGAGTCGGATGACGATGGGTCTGACCTGGAAGGTTACCATTGGGATACCGCACCGCCGTCAAGAAGTTCCTCAAGACCGATGTTCGACCCGGATAGTGAATATCGACCACCAGGGATGAGAGCAGGGTATCAGACGTACCAGTCACCAGTCATGCATCACTCACGACTGCCACATCCAGCACACCCGTCCTCGTTCCATCACTCAAACCCGGGCAAGCCTCGGCCAGCCGAGTACGGGGTTGGACTTGGACAGAACCAGTACTATCAACAGACGAGCGACTACATGCGCCCAACTTATCCACATCATATGTCGCCGTACGGCAACCAAATGTCAGGACACATCACCCCCTTTGTCGAGAACGTCTATATGAACAAGACAAACTCGCCCTCGGGGTCATATCATAGCTCTCCTATCGACCACTACGGCAATATCATGGGATCCGCGTACCCGCCACCACCTCATCCGCACCAGCGCCCCAACGAGCATCCTATAGACCCGTCACTCATGAGTCAAGGTGGCGAGCACTTCGACGCGCTGGGTATCTTCGGACTAGGAGGCCAAGGTGAGGGGCTCCAACCTCACTACACGCTGGACCAGGGGGGAAATCTAAGCGGACACATAAGCGAGGAGCAACACCACCAACAACAGCAATTCGAACAGGCTTTCCACCATCCTAATCAACCCGTACCCGAGGAACGGCCATCGTGGCACGACGACGTGCCGAAGCTGGCAGAGGGCGAGTGGGAGACGCTGGCCGCGGGTACCGACTTCGACATCGACGGCATTCTGGGGACGACGGAAAGCCCGGGGGGTTAATTTAATATATCCCTGGATAGATAAATGTGAAGATCAAAGACGGAGATGATGATTGATAGATGATACAAGCGAGAAATAAGTAAAACGGAATAAGGAACTGGAACGCAAAAAAATATTCTGCGTTCGGAGTTTTGGGAGTAGACACACACTTTTATGTATTTAAATTTGACCTTGCTTTCTTTTCTCTCTCTCGCCATGTTTTCTCTCCGGCGCTATTGTGCCTTGGCTTACATGTATGTTTCTCCACACGCTTGTGTGTGCTGTGTTTGTATGTTTGTTTGTGTTTGATTGTGTGTGTGTGTGTCGGGTTATCCGCGCTCGGGGCAGTAGTTTCGCGGCGTCATCATCGTTTCGTGGACATAGACTTGGGCGGCTTGGCTGAAGCGGTGGTGATGATGATGATGATACCCTCCCCCCTTTTCCCCCGTGGCCTGGAAGTTGGTTGGAGATCTAGAATGGATGGACGTCAAGTCAAATTAAGTTAGTGAGTCGGTTGGTCAGATAGACGGACAGACAAACAAACAGACGGAAGCCGCATCGGAATTTGTTTTTGGGGGGTTTTCAAGACGGCTGCGTGCTTTTTATTAGTTTGGAGTAAGTAAGGAGGACTTTGGGGATTAAGATTAGTAGAATGAAATGAAAATTGCTGCATAAATGTACCTAATGTACGAGGTAGCTAGCTAAGCCGTACCTTGTTTAGTTGCCCTGAGTTAGAAGTTAGGAATAGAAACGAGAATGCTCTCCAGGAGTAACAAAAAAAAAGCAAAGCAGACAGACGATCGTATATATCAAGCCACTCCGCTCATCTCTTTTGTCCCTAACCATATCAAAACACCTACGTGGCTATCTATTTGACATCGCCCACCCTCCACCAGCCGCCTTTTCATTGTGCAAGTGAAATGCCGCCCAAGTCAATAATAAAACGGTCGAGCCCCGTCTCCCGCGCGGGGACAAAGGAATGTTTAAGCCTCAACTTACAGGAGCTTTCCGCGGCCGCGGGCCTTGAAAGGGATTAATATCCGTCGAAACAGACAGAACTATATACCGCGGGAACGCAAATAAAGAATTTGGACTGGATAGTGGTAAGGATTATGGTTATTCGTTTTTCTAAATGTTACAGCTCATCCTTGGGTCTTTCTTCGCTGCTGGGGGACTGGGGGCCCGTATGCTCTTCTACTTCTACTTCCATCACGCGCTTCTTTGGATTAGGGGGTTCGTCATCGTTGCGCTCCCTTAGCACGGTTTCTTCCTTTTCTTCTCCCTCTGCTTGCGCACCGTCTTCTGCTTCCGCCCTAGGGGGTTCTCCTTCCGCCGTTTCGTTATTAATAATCCTATCGACTTCCTCCATGATAGCTTCTGTGCTCTCACGTGACACCTCCGACTGATAATTGACTTGCGCCGTCTGGACTCCCTCGTTATTCATATGTACCTGCGGCGACCTAGATTGCGTTGTAGACGCGTCGAGGTTGGGACTTGATACTTGTGCGTTTCGCCGGGAGACCGTATTCGACACGCCTACTGCGCCCTTGAATATGAGCTTTAAGGGGAGCCAGACAAGCCACCATGTCGGACCCCAAAGCAGACGCCGGAATATTAGCCACCCAATAGTGACCACCAATATATAAAAAGCTGACTGCAAATACCAAGTATCAGTCTTCTGGCTCTTGAGCAGCGTACCAAGCAGCGCTCTCGAATTCGACAGCATGGTATCCAGACTCGAGTAATTCTCGGACAGCTGCGACAGCGCGGCCGTCGACTCTTTCAGCGCATTGTGCGCGAAGTCGCTCTTGGACAGCTCGGCGGCCATCATATCATGAGTCCTGCGCATCGACTCCGTCACATCGCTGCTAGCGCTGAGCATCTGCTCCTCCTTGGACATCTCGGCGCGGGCGCGCGGTTTCCTTCGGCTGGGCGGTAGCAAGGCAGCTGATTCAGGGGGTAAGGGGGACGAGGCGCCGGATCGGGGGCTCGAAAAGGAGGCGTAGAGAAGCTCGCGCTCTTGGCGCTGGGCTAGTTGTAAGTTGCGCTTCGCTGAGACTTGGGCTCTCCTAAAAGCCTTTCGACAACTATAAGGAGTTAGATTGAGTACCTAGATAATATCATAAATATAGCTTGTGTGTAATCCCCCTTACGTACTTCTGCAGCTCCTCCTCAAGCCGGGTTGCGCCGTCTTTCAGCCTATCCTTGTCATGTTGTAAACCGCCCCCTGGCTTTCCCGGGCGGATATCTATTATTTCCTCATGCAGCAACTCGAGCTCCTCTTCCTGTTCGCGTAGTATCTGGTTGATTTCCGAACCGAGCTCAGACCCGACATTGTCTTCGTCGCTTGCGCCGAGGGGCACAGAGCCCGGCTGGAACTTGAAGTTGGCTAGGCGGTCGATCAGCACCTTGAGCTGGTTAGTCGCATCTTGCAGGAGCGCGAGACGGACTTGTAGATCGGTGAATCGCTTCTCTAGAGCTTCGGGAGACATGTTGTTGTTGTTAGTCGAGTAAATCGAGCCGAAGCCCTTTATAGGGGTTGCGTGGCACTATTCATAAAGGATAAAGGTGAAGTGTGGAATTATGAGACGTGTAGGTTAATAGGTAAGAGTACTTGTATGGAAATTATTAGTTAAGGATTATGTATTTATTGTTAACGGTGACGTTGCAGGTTCCGCCAAATTGAATTGGAAGCTATGGCGTGGCTAGTGTAAGTGATGCACGGCCACATTCCCTACATCCCACCCGCTTATCAACACCAGCCACACCCCGAATTGCCGGCTCCAGAAAATCTTCGGAAGCTCCATCGTACATCGTGAATCTCTTACACTAGCACCGGAGGGACGAGCCAATTCGATGCACAGGTAAGTAACACAAATTAATTCAAAATACAATATACGGTTAGACGTATTAATAAATCTACCTTCATAAACAGACAGCCGGCACAATGATCACGCGCTTCATCACCGAGGTGAACACCAAGTTCAACCCCTTCTCCATGCGCTCGCGGGCCACGAGGCTATTCCTCAGCGTTCTCCCTCCCAATGCGCGACAGCACGGCATGCAGATAAACACCACTCTCCTACCGCGAAATTCTACTTTACCAGCTACCCTAACCGTCAAATTTAGTGCGTACAGTCCCAACGGTAGCGTTAGGCGTTTGTCATTCGGGCTTTGCTAACTACTTGTTTAAGAGGATGGGAAGGAGATGGCCTTGGATGGCGAGCAGTTGGGTATCAAGGGCATAATCGAAGAAGTCGATAGACATTCGCGGGCCTTGCAAAAACAGGCAGACTTGACAGATGGTTAATGGAACAAATTTATTCCTATAATTTATCCCTCGACTTAATAAGCATTGGCCGGCGTCTTGCTTGGGTTGTTATCACGGAGCACTCTTCAACTGTACATGCATTTATAATTGCACGGGGATGTCATTGCATTTGTCATTTATGGGAACGGATTGGGCAAATTCGATGCCTATTTTACGAATCACCATCTATTCATCCTAAGCCAACGCATGCGGTCGGGGCATGTCAGACGGATATGCTACCAAACAGAGCTCTTTTAAGATTTACGCCCATCAGTGCGCCAAACTTTTCTCTACCGGACCCTAGAATATCCAGCTTACGCGGCAGCACCGCTGATGAAAAACCACTTGTCGATCGAGCTGTCGATCTTCTCGGGCGTGAGGTCCTCGTTGGGAGGTAGGGGAGGCAGCTGCTCGGGTCCGACGCGGCTCGGCGAGTGGGACACGGTCAGGTTGGTCGTAGAGATGCCGCCGGGCTGCGTCTTGCCGGTGATCAATCGTTCCCAAGCTTCACCGCATTCGCGAATGACATCTAGGGCGTAACTACGTGCTCCGTTAGCAGTAAATCCAGTATAAAAACAGGGGTTAACACTCACGCCTTGTTCTTGCATTCGCCAGTGAAGGCGAACTGGTTCTCGGGCTTTCCATCGGGGATCTTGTAAATACGGAACCACTCGTTGGTGGCACGGAGGAGACCGGGGAGGTGTCGCTCAACATCCTCGACGTCGTTCAGCTTGGAAGCCAAGGGGTCGTTGATGTCGACGACGATGACCTTCCAGTCGGTCTCCTCCTCGTCGAGCAGAGCCATAACACCGAGGACCTTGACTTGCTTGACCTGACCCACGTAGCCAACCAGCTCGCCGATCTCGCAGACGTCGAGTGGGTCATTATCACCCTTGGCCTTGGTTTCCGGGTGAATGGAGTTGGGGTCTTCCCAGGTCTACGTAAGGTACACATGGTGTTAGTGAATACCTAAATTAAGCAAACACGCAAGAGGTACACAACGACGTGGAATGTATTACCTGGGGGAAAGCACCGTAGTTCCAGAGATAACCCTTGTGGGGGAAGCAGTTGCGGACGTATCGTAGCTTGCCCTTCTTGATGTCCTGCTTGATGGGGTTTAGGAGCTCGTCCTTGGAGATCTAATAAAAGGAAGGCCCTAGTTAGTAAAACAAGCTGCACCAATATGTCAGAGCTATCCTGGCATGGTGCATACCTCAAGCTTAGCATTGGTCCATCGGGGAATCTCAACGATCATGTTCAGGATGGTCTGCTCCGCGTTGGCGAAGAGAGGGACGTCGTGGAAAGGAGAGACGGGGACGCCATCCTTCTCGATGTAGACTCGGTGCTCCAAGGTGTTGGGAGCACCGACCTTGCGAACGCCATAAGACGAAGCCATTGCGGATGCAGATGCTGAATTACCCGAGTTCTGGTCGACGGTCGAAGAAGGAGAGCCCTTAAGGTGTTGGGCGAGTTGAGTAGTACGACGAGACGCAATCTTGGAGGTTGGGTCTTTAGGAGTTGAGGAAATAGGAGAAGGTTTGATATGTGGATTTGGATTTAGTTGGCGAAAGTTAGAATTAATTAGGGGCAAGTGGTCAGAGGTGGCAGAAGAAGGAGGGGGAGGGGTCGAAGACGTGTTGCTGCAGTGGACCGCCAGCTTGGTCGAGGGGATGACGTGATTGGCTTGATAATTCCGTTGTATTACTAGTCGTCCAAGTAGCAGCCGTTTGTGTGGATAACGTGCATAATGATAGGTGAGCAATCTTTTTTCTAAAGAAAAAGTCTGCTGGCCAACTCTTGGTAATAACATACGGGATAGCCTTGTTGAAAAGACAAAAAAGGGAAGAGAGTTAAACAAATAAACAAATAAACAATAAAATAGCTGGTTATTATCCCACAAGACGAGCCGAAGTTGGCCGTTTTCCTTTTTACCGCTTTCTTTACCGTGGTT